TAAATTATAAAATAATATAAAATAAAATTTTTACTTAGTAGCTATAACTATCTAAACACTAATTAATTAACTCTTATAATAATAACTATATATAATACTAGAACTATAAAACTAGGAGTAATTACTTTTCTTCTAAGTAACTTTAAAATGCTTGTAGAGCTAGTCTAGTAAGACTCTTTACTACTGCTGCTACTAGCTTACTTACTATATAGCTACTTTTTTACTAGTTTTTTATGCTTATATAATGCACCTAATTTTCTTAATAATTTTAAGCTATAAAAAGTACTACTATAGCTTACTTTAATAACTTAACTTTTACTTATTTCTCTAGCGCCTGTCTAGCTTAGTAATAAAAGGCTAGCTCTATAGGCCTACTGTTTATTTACACTAAAAATTCTCTATAGTCTTTATAGTGTAGTATATGTAATACTTTAGTGTAGGTTTTAGCTTAGGTGCTAGCTTAAGCGCTACTAGTAGCAGTAATAGGCTAGGTAAGCGCGTAGACAGCATAGGCGCAAGGCTAGCCTAGGCAGAGGTATACCTGCTTAAATCTACGTCTGCTAGCAACAGCAGCGCAGCTGCTGTGTGCCTAAGTAGAGGTGGTAGCAGCAGCAGACTGCCCTGCGCCTGTAATGCCTCTAGGCAGAATATAAGGCTGCTAGATATAAGCACTTATAGCTACTAAAACTATAATCTTTATAGCTTATATATATAATTAAGCTTTTTTTTAAGCTTTTTTTTAAGCTTTTTTATTTACTACTTATTTTAAGCATCTAGCGCTTAAAGCTAGTTAGTAAGTAAGAGTATTACTTAGTATAAGACTAATAGCTAACTAGAAGCTGCCTTTATATTAAAAGACATGTTAATGTCCTAAGCAAAGGCAGCATATACTCTGTGCTAGAACACTAGGTGGCTCTACACAGAGTAGCTAGAGAAGCGCTAGCGTAGTGTAACTAAGTTTTAAAGAATTACTTTTCTAAAGTAAAGTAGTAAGCTTATAAAGCTTTTTACAGCTAAGTTATTAATTTAGCTAGTGTGTAAGCTAAAGTAGCCCTTTTATACATTAAGCTTTAGCTAAATAAGAGACAGAAGCTTATTTAAAAGTATAATAGCTATATAAAAGATCTTAAAGTAGCCTATTTATAGCAAATAGCTAGCTATAGACCTTATAAACTTTTATAGTAGTAAGTTAAAGTAGTAGCTAACTATTTACTTTTAATTTTACTTACTTACTTACTAAATTTAATTTTTATTAACTTTTTTAAGCTTTACTAGCTTAGCTACTTTACTATATAAAAAGTAAGTTTTTTTTTAAGATAAGATCTTAGTGTAACTATACACCTTTACAACCTAGTTGCGCTAGGAGTTGTAGAAGAAGGCTGCTATATAATTACCTATGCTAGCCTTAATTAGCTATATATAGTACTAGGCTAAGCGCTTACTAAAGTTAAAAAAGGGCTTATTACTTAAGTTTTAGCAATAGAGTAGGTAAAAGGCTAGGCTGCTAAGCATATAAAAGATTAGCTTTTTATGCTATAGCGCGCCTATTATTTTAAGCTAGCTATGCTAGTTTTACTTACTTACATAAGTAGTAAATATTAAAAGTATATAGCATATAAAGCTTTTTTTTTTAAACTTAAAAGTAAATAAGTTTAAGATCTTTATAAAACAGCAGTTACCTTTACACATAAGCATATAGTAGCCTAGCATAAGATTAACTAGCGTACAGAAGTAACACTCTACTATTGCTAAAAACAAGCTTGCGTCTACGCTATGTGTCTATAGCTTACTATAGAGCTGCTTAAACTTATCCTTAGTGTAGCTATTAAGCAGTGTATTTTTGCTTTTATTAGCGTACTGCTCTTAATCTTACTAGGCATCCCTACGCTGTAGAGACCTAAGGTACTCCTTTACACTGTCTACGCGTAGTAATAGGTAGCTATTTATACCTAGCGCCTTTTACTCTTACTAGAGGTTAGTAATAGCTGTAATATAAACATAAACTAAGCACTAAGTAAAATATATTTTATTTTAAAAAATATTACTTTTTACCTTATAAAACTTAATTTTTAAAGGCTAGTTTATAACTTTTTTAACTAAAAAAAGTAGTAGCTTTTTCTTTATAATAGTGCTACTATTATAGTACTACTTTCTCTTGCAGAACGCCTAGACATAGAAGTTAGCACAGACACAGATACATAGATAGGCAGGTAGGCAGGTAAGAATACTACCTTAAATTCCTCCTGCTTTAGAATATAGACCTAGTGTGTATTCTCTAGCTACTACTTATAAATTATAGCTAAAATATAGTGCGCATTAGCGCATAGCTTAGTGTTGTTTATAATGTTAACATCTGCGCGCTTATAACACACTCTACGCTGTAAACTTATGCTTACTTGCCTTACCTTACTTTTACTCCTAAGTAAGTGTGTATAGTAAGAGAGGGTATATATAGTAGTAAGTAGTGCACGCTAAAGCTTAGGCTTAGGATAAAGGTAAGGGCAGGGCCTGGCCTGCCCTAGGGCCTCTCCATCCATACATATATGTGTGTGTGTGTGTGTGTGTGTGTGTGTGTGTAGTACAGGAGCCATCAGCGGCGGGCTCAGCAGGCGGCCGGTGCAGTAGGAGATGTCCACCGCACGGGCGCGAGAGCCGGGGGTGGACATCCGCAGACGCCCGCAGGAGGCGATTAGTTAAAAAGCAAGACAGCAACTTAGCTAAGGCTTAGTGCAGCCTTAAATACTATAAGATGCTAAATAAGATAAGTATACTTTTCTATTTATGTCCTCTACTGCCTTAGGTCTGTTTTATACTTTCTAAAGTTTACATCTGCTTGTTTTAAAGCCCTTTTCTAATTGTTGCTTATTATAGTATGTTCTAGAAGTATTAAACGCATAACATGTTGTTATTAGGGGCAACCTTAACAATCTACGTACTGTAGTTTAAGATAATAAAGAAAAGATAAAAAAGAAAATAAAATCATTTAATCTCAGACAAAAGTCCCTAAGGTTTAACAGAGTATGATATTTAGTTGGGGTCCTCAAACTTGATGAGCACCGGGGGCTCACTGACCCAGGAAGCTAAGCCGTACAGCTGGTATTAATGTTAGATACTAGAAACTAACAGTACCTAATCTATAGTAAGCCTGGATGTTGGTATTGTGGTTGTACAGCAGTCCTGGCTAGAAAATCTTTGTGTTCGATACTAGCGGACTGTGTTCCCAACGAGATGCCACGCGGTCCGCTTGTTATCCAGGGAGGTTGCCTTACGCCACGTCTTCTTGGGCTGCATCGGTTTGTCTCTTGAAAAAAGCGGCATCAAATTAGCTACTATGAGGCTGTAGTGCGATCACATCCTACAGAAAACAGAGCTTAGCAAGGCCGCTGCCACCTCCCAGAACCGGAGTTGCCCATCCCGCAAGCAGAGATACCAAGCCTCTCAACTGTGACGAGTAAGGTCCGAGGAATTGACATCCGTTTCGCAGTTTGTGGAAAGGGAGGGAGATGGTGTGAGTATAGGTCCTAGCGATCTCGGCGCGAGCCTTGGGTCAGGAAGCAAGCTCTTCACACCGGCATGGGGGAAACTGATGTCGAAAGATGCAGGAGGTTGCTCAGCTGCGTGACGACTATGGCTCGGTGCGAATTCTGTCTCACCCTTAACTCAACACCGCTATAGGGTCCTGAGGCCACGTAAAGGTGCGATTGTTTGTGCACGGGGCTGCTTCGGAGAAGGCCCGGACGCCTTCTTCCGCGCAAAATTCTCGCCTTTGAAACTTCAGCAAGCCGTCCGCTGTGCATCTTCCCCTCTGTGGTAGACCAGACCCAAGCTATCTAAGCTTCGTAGGGCGAAGAAACCGGGTGTTTAGAGAGCGGGCGTCCGTCGTGCCTTCGCCTCTCTCCAATGTTATGTCGAAGCGGGACATGAGCACCTTTGGGTCCTCTTTCCTTGATGCCTGGGGCAGTCAGGAATCGATAACGGCGGTGTTTCGTGACCCAAGTCGAGACCGTTGTGCTGTGTTTCAGACGTTGGAGAGTTGTCTCAGGCGGCTGTTGTAGTTCGCTCCCGCGCAGGGGGCGCGATCGCCATCAGGGGCTTCAACCAGGTCGTCTTCGCCTTCTAGATCTGGCTGATGCTCAGAATTTTCACGACTATCTAATCCGAGGACGTGATGAAGTTATGCTGGCGCGAACGAAGGGTGCGAAGAGAGGCTGCAGAGCCAACAGTGGTCGGTCGGTGAACGTCCATCACACCACAAGGCCAATGGGCATCGGCTGTCCTCTTCAGGGGGGTCGCTAGCACAACCCCCATCCGACTCTAAACGAACCTCGCCCTCGCCCAGCTGACAGGTCCTCTCATCTGTGACACTCTGCTCCACCAGATGTTTTATGGCTTCAGCGAATCCGGAGCTAGCCCGGTCCACAGCAGCACTCTCTGAGCTGTGCGGCCACGAGGTTTTACATTCACGACAGGCGCCAAACACGACAGCCGGCTCCGCTCCCGTTCGAGGAAGATGCAGTTCCTTCCTCTGTCACCCCAGTGGCCGATGGGAATCGCCGCCGCTGCTTAAGCCTCCTGTGACTATCGTCACGCAGGCTGATGGAGATCATACAGGAACATAGCCCTGAATGGACCGTCCTGACGTACATGACAGATTCGGCCTTCCTGCAGGGGAGAAGCTTTAGAGATCCAATCTCACTGCATCCGAGTCCACAGCCAAAGTGGCGTCGCCAATTATATGCAAGATCACAGAGGTGCCACAAGCAGATGTAGTTGCGGCTTCCCCGGCCATTTTTATGGTCTTCCTCCTCGTCGTTGATGTCTCAGCTCTCACCTAGCCAGTTCTATTCCTGAGCTTCTGCTATTCTCTTATTCCTGTCATCCATATCCTCGACTTAGTTGCCTTTCTATAGTTCTTCATGCGTGATGATGGGCTCCTTCGAGTTTCTTTTTTATAACCGTCCTGCCATCATCAACCTCTCTTCTCATTACTAGTGGCCTTGATGGCATCTCCCTCTGGTAATCGCGTTATCGCGGTGACCGAAGCTTTTACAGTTGTTGCAGGAGCCGTCGTGTTTCTTCGCTTATTTACTCGTGTCGCCGTCCTTCGAAATGCTGGCTTCGAAGATGTTTGTATTACTGTTGCTATGGTGGGTTCCTATTCAGTTCTGTGCGCCGCTCTATCGCTGACTGATGGTTCTTCCAATAGGCTTGTTCCATAGGTCTCACAGTCACAATAGCCGAACAAGTTCGGAACGGAATGGGGATGCACATTACAACACTCACGCCTACAATGATAATTGATTCTCAAAAGGTATGCAACTACCTTTTTCAAGGTTGGGAGCCAACTCTAACTCCTATGTTCAGGCTTTTTGGGCAAGCATATGGATTTACAACCTCTCCCTAACATTCACGAAACTATCAATCCTCGTGCAATTTCTACGAATTTTCCCGACTCGCCGCTTCCGCTTCATTTGTTTCATCCTGGCAGGCTTCATTGGGACATTTGGAATCTGGACCTTTTTTGGAAGCATCTTCCTGTGTTCCCCAATCGAATTCTTCTGGGATAAAACAACCAAAGGCGGAACATGTTTGAACCAGTTTGTTATCTGGTATCTTAATGCTGGTGTGAATATCGTTCAGGATTTTGCCATTCTCATTCTTCCAATACCAGTGCTGCGCACACTGAATATTCCAAAGGGTCAGAAGAGAGCGCTTATTATCATCTTCGCTCTTGGTGGATTGTAAGAGCATTTCAATCTCTTAATCGTCTTAGTGCTATCAGCTAACACACGTCTCAGCGTCTGTCTCATATCAATAATCCGCCTTCAGACTCTTGTCCGGATCTCCAACTCTAAGGACCCTACCTTCGATAACCCTCCCGCCGCAACCTTTTCAGTAGTAGAAGTCAACGTTGGAATCGTCTGCGCATGCCTTCCTTCCCTCCGACCCCTATTCGCCCATATGCTTCCTTCCTATTTTCCACCCATACCACAACTCAATACTAGTCGAAGAAACGACGAAGAGCGACAACAGCCAAAGCACCTTCGAACACTCTCCTCTCAAACCCACCCATACACAGCAGGCGAGTCTAGTAGACCCAGCTATTCTCGCGGTGGTGCAACCAACACAACATGGTCCCGCAATGAAAGCGAACTGGAGCAAATGTATAATCATCAAGCCACGGTATTGGGTACGGGTACCAGAATAAATGGCCCTGTTCGACAGGTCACGATAAATCACACGCCGCGAATTTCTTCTAGCCATCCGGCGCCAAGGTTACCAAGATTGCCAGAGAACCTAGCCACCATTGGTTCTGTAGGAGCGTCACGACCAAGTTCGAAGCACTCAAGGCGTAGTTCCGGACCTAGAAATCATAGCCGAAAACACCATGCGCGGAATTCGAGCCTTCACAAACCGCTTCCCATCACTCCTTTCCCGGTCCTTGAACCATGGAACAGATGAATGAAACATCTTGAGACACGGTCTTCTTCGGTGGGCGATTTCGGTGGCCAAATCTCACAGCCTGAGGTTACACGGCACCTCGAAGAAACAGCACACATCGCACAACAGCAACGTGGTCACGGCACCAACTACCGTAAGATCAGCGCGTATTCAACTTGCATTCGTCCTTCGAGACTCAGCAACACGAAGGAACACCTCACAATTTGCGCCCTCGAACGCGATTACATCTGCCAACGTCCCTCCCTTTACACCCCTCCTTGATACAACTAGGCAACTTTCCGTATTCCCAGTCCAATCCTTCCATGTACCGATTCCATCCCGTTTCAGACCAGCATCTCCGCGGTCTACCCATCACAGTCTCTTTAATTGTAGCCTTCGCATGTACCACAATAATTTTGTGCACGGCCTTCATGATACCACAGCACGGCGTTGGCAGACACGAAAACGCTCCTTTTAGAAATCGATGTATAGCACCAACGATAATGCACGCGCCTAGCAGGGCCTATATTCCTTCATATTGTATTATTGAGAAATTTACACTGGTTAAGAAATGAGTGTGGGCATGTACAATAGAAATAAGCATCTTATCGCGATCGATAGACAGATCGACGAAAATAAGGTACGGGCGGAAGGCAATGCCTCCCGCCCAGAGTCATACCAGTCCCAAGTCAATCTTTCAGCCCTCCCAACATAGTCCAAGCTTCTCACCGAGGTACCTGCATGTACAATCGCCTCTGATCCCCTCTCACTTATTCGGCAGCACCACCAAAGCTCCCCTCACCACGTCAGCCGCACGTTCCCAATCCCGTATCGAATTGTCTAACGCTAGCGAAGCAGCGTTAATTGCTTGAAAGAGGCATTGAATAACCCAACCCGGGTTTTCATACTAGAAATAAATTCTCCGTATGTTTGAGGAGGAGAAGGGTGCAGTGTTCCAGATTGCTGACAGGGATAAAAGAAGCTACGGATATCGCCCCGCACGTGGAGCATTTTTGTGGTGGTCAGCGCCTCAGGGCTTGTACGACCATGACTGCAGGAACTCAACTCCAGTTCTGCCCAAGGGACAGTTGAGGTGGGAAAGGGGAAGAGGGGAGGAGCGAGTTTATTGGGCCGATGTTTCGTTTCATGTACGTGGTCGACAGGAGGATTGATTCCTTTCGGCTTCTCTTGCTTCGTCGAAGGAAAGATTAGGAATGTGATATGCAAATGAGGTAGTTTTGTGAGGGATCAAGGTTGACTGGCTAAGCGCCTTGAGTAAGTCAATTTCTTCCTCATTTTCAGTTCTCAGCAAGAGTTCTATTCTCCTCCGTCGCCAATCGTTAGTCTATCCTTTGTGCGCTGCCTCTCCCTAGATTAGAATATGTTATCAGGATCGTTAAGGGTATCACGGAGTGGCAAATTCCTTTTTCCACCTCCCGTCATCCGCCATCCATCCCGCGACCCGACCTCTACCACTTCATGCTCACTCTTTCAATAGAGATTCCAAGTTCATCCGAATTCTTAGATAGAGCCACCGTATGCAAGCCAATTTGAAATCATACATGTAAATTCGAAGCCGAAGGCCGTTTTCAAGACCTGGTATTTGGGGTTAGTAAGCCTCATGCCCAGGGCGGCTAGCGAAACTTCAACGATCTGCACGTTGGAAGGCTTATCTCGAAGTCATGCAATATTTGGGGGCAGTATAGGGTCGAGGCACATGGTGGAGGGCGGGCGGTGATTTTTTCCATGATGTGTTTGCACGGTTGGGATAAAAGGTATATTTGGGAGTCTTGTTGATGTTTAGTGTTAGTTCATGGATCAAAGTCGAGAGGCTCGTATTCATGTCATCGGTAACCCAACCGTTGGAAGCAGATAGGCCTTCTCCTACACTTGCTGTCTGCGCATGCTATTATATATCTCGAAAAGTTCCCAGGATAGGATGGCGGGTGGCGTCGCCGAGGGCGTGGATCATAAAGGGCGCTGAGAGCGTTACGACCCAACCGCTATTTGTCTAACTCTCCCAGCATTGGTAGTTTGATACTGTTGCTAGGTCTCTCATTGAGGCGTAAACTGTACCGGCTATGCTTGAGGAGAAGGCACGGGTAATTGCGTAAACTATTCCTGTAGCCCCTTGTGAATTCATCTAGCATGGGACACTGCAAACGCAAAGTGGCTAGCATATGATTTGAAGTGCCTGATTGTGATCGTGGGGCCAACGGCAAGGACATCTAGTCCAGAGTCAGCAGGGATGAAACTTTTTCTTGCAGATGGAGACATCAGTAAGCCATCGGTTCTCGCTTTTCATCGTGCATTGTCAGAATGCATTTCATTTTCGCCAATCACCGAAGAGGATCTCGGGGTGTCAGATCCGCAACGGACTTCTAGGCGGCAGTTAATTCGAGGCGACAGTCAACGATATCTGCGCAGCTTGGACGGTTGCCAGAAAAGACCTACATTTCCCGAGTCAAATTTCTTCAAAATAAACCCAAAAATGGTCAACTCTTGAATTGATATAGAACACAGGCCCCAATCCATTAAAGTTATCTTGTACAGTTTCTCCAGACGCCGAGCCTAACCCAAGGAGTATCAATGTACATCTATCGCCTAAACTTGCTAAAGATAACCGCAATAATAAGCAAGACAAGGACTGTGATGATCGCAATCGTGATAATCCGATTCGTAGCCATCCTAGATCATACCCTCGTTAGCAAACAGCACCTCTCAGAATGGCAACCCAAATCTGGACTCCACATCAACACCAGACTGAGCTTAGGCACCCTGGGATCGAGAATAAGCATACCTTCGCGCCATTCCCCTGAGTGTTTTGATGCTCCGGTCAGTGTACCCCTCGCTCGCCAACAGCGTCTCCCTCGTCCGCGTAATCTGCTCTCTTTGTGTGTGCAGGTCGCCCAGCGTATTCCGTCCAATCTCCTCTGTCTCCAGAGCAATTCTTTGACTCTCTCTAATTCTGCCGGATGACCTGCCAAGTCTCTCGGTGCCTGAAAGCAGTTGCTGACGCTGCTCGAGCTGGTCGTCGGTAGTTGGGTTATCGGTGTAGCGCGAGCCAAAGAGTGCGTGGCGGTCATCGGCAAGAGATTTGAGTTTGCGCTCTGCGCCATCAACGTCGGACTCGAAATTGCGAAGCCGTTGCTTCGACTTAGATTTCGAGGTTGCTGGAATGTTGGGCATTTCGATGCGCATTTGTCCAAGCTAGTGTAGATATCCATCAGTCACCTCTTCTCAGTTAAACCAAGCCGGATATCCTTTCAATAAATGGTTGCATATCTCCGTCTCTTGACGCATACTCTGTTTCGGTTCGCGCTCTAACGTATTTACTCACCAGTTCCTTTGCCTCTTCCAGCGCCCTCTCTGCCTTCCTTATGGACGCTTTTCGAGGCTCGCCAGAGAGCTCTGGTATCTCATCTAGCTGCTGGTTCAAATCGGCTTGCACTAGCTTGAGCTCAGCTTCATAGCTGCCGAAGCGTTCGGTGCCGGCATCGGCATCGATGAGGTTTGCCATTGTTCAGATGGTCCTAGGGGGGTATTTGCAGTTCTACGATCCGGCGAGAAGAAGGATTATTAGCGAAAATCGATACAGTGATGTTGCTGGAAGTGTGGAGGCGGGTGGAGTGAGGATGGTTGAGGTGTAGGAGGGTTCATGAGGTCAGCCTAGAGTTCCGCGCAGGTGCCAAGACTAAATCACGTGCAACCACTGGGCGCTGCGTTCTCATAACATGTGCTTGTATCGCTCCGTGGTCCATCACACTCTCTATTGATTAACTACGACGAACAGTGATTGGGTATGATTTTCATACATCCAGTGCCTTCATAGGCTTTGCTAAACAAAGTCAACTCCTCAGTCAGGCTAAGTCCAACAAGAGAAAGCATTGTATTGCATTCCAGGTTACCTTGTATCTCTTTCTTCCGCAATTCTCGTTTCTCTATTAAGGTCTCCTTCAGTTAAGCACCCGTCCAACTTTCTCTAACACGGCTTGGCCAATCACTGAGCGACCACTCAAGACCATATTCGGAAGCGGCCTCCTCACACCTTGTTGTTCCACGCCCTTGGTTCATGGAGTCTAGTGTCTCACCGATATTTTCTGTGGATAGACTTAGTACTAATGCCTATTATTTCATAGAGACATTAACCCAGATGGGTTGGAAGAGAGTGTTTCCAAAAACGTACTAGTTCCAAACACAAGCCAATCATGTCTCTATGACAGCCGTTGGAATTGGACCTTTCCACTCATTCATCTCTCAAAGGTCAACGCCCAATAAGTATTATCTACCCTAATTTTCTCCAAGGTTTCTACACCTCCCCACTCTTTCAATTTTCAATTGTGTTGGGAGTTTGTCCAGACCATCGGCAGCTTAGCTGAAACCATTCTCGCTTCAAAAGTCATGACCTCATCACTTCCCCTTTCGAACTTGCAACGTTCCTCTTCCTTATCTTCTTAGCTCTCTTTGCTAGCAACGCAATTCTAGTGCAGATCCTGAAGCCTTTGTCTAGAACCAGCCAAGAGATGGAGAGAAAACGAATAGCCATCGTTGGCAGCGGGGTTTCAGGTGTGAGTGCTCTCTGGACACTCAAGAACACACAGCATGAAGTACATCTTTTTGAAAAAGAAGACCGACTAGGTGGCCATACAAACACCGTGACTTGGGAAAGTAATGGCCACAGTACTCCAGTCGACACTGGGTTCATCGTTCTCAACACCGCTACGTATCGTTAGTATTCTACATATTCAAGTACTCCTTTCACGTGATTAATGGAAATGCTAATCTCATTTCAGCGAACTTCATCGCCTTCCTTGCCTCTCTTAAGATCAAAACAATCGCTTCCGAAATGACCTTTGGCATCTCCCGCGATCAAGGCGCCTTCGAATGGTCTGGCACATCGCTCTCCGCTCTCTTCGCCCAGCCAACAAATCTCTTCAAACCGTCTTTCTGGCGCATGATCTTCGACATTGTGCGCTTCAATCAATTTTCTCTAGACCTTCTGTCTACGTCTTCTTCTAGTCCCGTAAACAATATTAGTATCGGGGAGTATCTGGAAAAGGAGGGGTATTCGGATGCTTTCAAAAATGACTATTTGATTCCAATGACGGCCTGTGTATGGAGCACCGGACCTGATAAATGTGCTCTCGAGTTCCCGGTTCTGACCCTAGTAAGGTTCATGTGGAATCACCACTTGCTAACCACCGTAGCGGAGAGACCACCGTGGCTGACGATCGAAGGGGGCTCGAAGAAGTACATCAATGCTGCGATCAGAGAGTGTACAAACGCTAAGGTGCATCTTGGGGTAGCTGTGGAATCTGCCACCCGGAAAGATGGAAAGGTCATTCTACGCCTGGGAGGAGAAGCCGAAAACAAGGTAGAATGGTTTGATGAGGTAATTCTGGCCTGTCACGGCGACCAAGCTTTCAAGATCATCAGACAAACCGCTGAACCAGATGAGACGGATATTCTGAGTGTGTTTGAGACAACACCAAACACTGCTTATTTACATTCTGATCTTTCAGTACGTTTTCTATATTCCTCTTGCGTGTCGAGGCTTATAAGAATGTAGCTTATGCCCCAACGCCACACCGCTTGGTCCGCATGGAACTACCTGGCAACATCCCAACGTCAATCAAAACCCTCCACCTCCGTTTATGGCGCGCCCCAGACAGTCACCTTGACCTACAATATGAACATCCTGCAATCCCTCCCAACGAACACTTACGGCAACATCCTTGTCACCATGAACCCGGCAAACCCACCGAATCCGTCACTCACCCAAGCCACGTTCCACTACCGGCACCCGCTGTATACTGCTCCTATGGTTGCTGCTCAAGAAAGGTTGGAATGGATTCAAGGGAAGCGGGGGATATGGTACGCGGGTGCTTGGACGGGTTATGGTTTTCATGAAGATGGGTTTGCCAGTGGAATGAGGGTAGGTTTACGGCTTGGAGGGGAGGTGACATGGGAGGTGAAGGATGCAAATTTCAGTAGGGGATCGAGACCTGTGTTAGATTGGAAAGACTATGCTGTAAGGATCGTAATTCTGGGTTTACAGTTGTTCATTACTGTCTTAGAACGGGTGTTGGTAGTGCACAGAATGAGGGGCACGCCGGAGGGTAATGGTGTTGTGCATGTGAATGGCTTTGGGGCAAGAAATGGGAAGCCGAAGGAATTGTAGTCGATCCATTCCTTAGGAAGCGCGAGTTCGAACCCTCAGCGATCGCTGTCTCTACACGTTTAGGTACATCACCGCCACCCTATAGTCGAATTCCAGTATCATAATTATGCCATTGAATTTTGAGGAATCCTGATACGACCCTAGTCATCACAGAATGGGCACCCAGATGCTGAAGCGAGCCATTTCATTCCCGATACGGCCGCCCGCAATATGAAATCCGTTCGAAAAGCCCCTCCATTCCGCATCTCCAAACTCACCCTAGACCTCAGCAATTTCCCTCAGTCGTCGGATCGTGGATCTCGTAGCGGCAGCGGCTGGGGTTCTGCGAGATGTTGGTTAGCCAAGCCCTCTACTATTCCATATCTTGCACGCTCTCCCCCCTAGTCCAAACAGAGAAGAGATGTCTTACGAGACAGTGTACGCGCCCCCGGCGGTCGTCTTCTTGCATGACCGACACTCCCAGATACCAACAGCCTTCCTCTTGACCGCAGTCTTGCCGCAGAATGTGCATGTGTACCTATCCCAACTCATCAGTCTCAATTCGTCTTCGAACCGCGTAAGTTGCAGGAGTAGCAGGTAAATTTACCGAGCGTGTTGTGTGATCTGTACAATGCCATTGTTAGCACCTCGCTCTCACCAAAGAACACACCCGTCTTCGAAATCAGCCGGGGAATTCAACATACCTCCATCTTCTTGACCTGTTTACGGAGCGAAGCGCCATAGCGCGTGCCGTATTTACCGGTAATACCGACTTTCTTCGTGCGCTTGGTCATTTTGAGTTGTGTGTCGTAGGTCGTTCGAGATGGGAATAACTGGCAGATCGAAGTTGTCGTTGGGACAATTTCGTGGTGGTGCTTAGTCAACTGTTAAGCGAAAGCCGGGTCAGGAAAACGTTTTTTCTGATGATTCATCTCAGCGGCACATTCGATCCCAACAGCAACTCAGTTATCCAAGTTGACAGACTGAGGTCACGGGGTTCTTTCTGTGCTGTCTTTACAGTCGTAGTTGCCATTGATTCTAAATTGGAAATTGATGAAGACGACTCAATTGCTCGAAAACTTCCGGGTCTTGCAGCCTCAAACTGAATTTCTATTTCCGAGATGATGTCTTGGTCTCCATTCTTAAGAACAGTGTTGTCGGACGCTAGGAGCCATTTAGTCACACATATCTCTCTCATGATTTAGTAGTTTCACCGAGTGGCCAATGAACTTTTGTATAGCAAGCCCGTCGTCCCATGCGACATCGAAGCGCTACGCACTCTTATTCAGACACTATACGCAAGCCCGGGTCTAGCAGCTCTCATAAACGAGATTGCAGGTCCAGAATAATATATGAGAAGTTCGGAATCTACCTGAGTCCACCAATCTCACCATTCCCGAGATATGGTAGAGGTGCTCCAGAGCCTTGAAACCCCTAACTACCAGACATGGATGGACGGATGCGCCTACTTGTCTTATGGAAAACGCGAATTCTCTTAACGCAAATACAGCACCGGATATATTGAAGTGTCCATTCCCAATTGCTGAGATCTATTTTCTACGACTGTAACTAACAAATATCAAACACCATGTCTCATGGTTGCCACGCCTTCGCAGGTCTGGGCCATACCCGTTTGTACAATGACACCGCAACTGCATCCATAGGGTTGATCTTCCCATCAAAAGTCGCCTTGAAATATCCGTGCGTCCCGAGACTCTCCTTGATGAACCCGCTCCGACCCCTTCTCGTCCACAACGGAAGACTCTTGAACCACTTCACGTCTTTATCGTCGAAGAACATGTAACGTACTGTGACCACACGCTTGTTGATTTTAAGTGGGTGTCCTGTGAGAATAATGCGTTTCGCAATCACTCGGTTGAGGGAGGGTGGAAGGCTAGTGCCCGTGGCGATGAGTTGAAGAGTGCTAGTGCTTGGGATCACATTACTGTCTTCAACCGAGACGCGCTGAAAATAGAGAACTGGGACGGAGCCCCAGGTCAATGGTCCGGTGAATGAAGCGATGGCTGAGCGTCCGGGATGGAGGTAACGATCGAATTTATGGACATCGTTCGGAGTGTTTCCGGCTTGGGAGAATAGCTGCGTTACGTTAGCGAAGAAATTATAACTAAGATACTTGATAACTCACAGGGTTGATGACCATCCTCCTCGGTCCACACTGGACAATAATCTCTGTTTTTGATTTGATTGGTGACGGATATTCTGAACTGAGCAGAATACTGTAGTTGCAAGCCGTTCGCTTATGCTCGTGACGCAAGAGAGAATATAGTGCGACAGGTCGCGACTGACTCTGCTGAAACGACAGAGGAACTCCACGTAGATAAATATTTACTCGAGTACCAGGCGTAACACCACCAGCCCATGCCTCCCTTACAATACGAGTGGCGGTCTTCTTATAATCTGATATCTCAAGAAGACGAGCCCAGTCCTCCGGCTCATATGGTTTATCTTCATCGGTCTCCCATATGCTCGTCTTCAGGCTCTTCAATCCACGATACCGAATGAGACGTTCTCGGGCGGCAACGTTGGGGTGTAACTCGATCTCGTCTGGAAACTCGAGATCTTCGTCGGCTTCTGTCTTTCTCGTTTTTCGGTACGCTGCAATCTCCTCTACTTCCTGATCTGGCGATGGATCTAGGAACATTTCGGACTGCGGGTATTCGGAAGGACCAGCTTCTGTAGGTGCTCTGCCATTGAGATCCAGCCCTTCGAGCCCGTCTGCAGGGTCAAAAGTCTCGTTCCTCATGTGCTGCGGAAACTCCTCTTCGAAGTCTTCTAAGTCAGAACCTGAATCTGACACGTCGTCAATGAACCATGCGCTCTGGTACTTGCTAGTTCCCTTCGGTAATCGCTTTGGTCGTGAAGGATTGACCATTGTCTCCTCATCCGAGAAATAATGGTGATCATCGAGAAGGACTCCTCTTCGCTCAGAGGGAGCGACGGAAGCAGCATAATTTGTAACGTTATCCATGATAGTCTCTTCAGGTGCCAGCTCAGCAAGATCGTCCTGTTGTTCAGTTGGAGTGTCCAGAACGACGTTTTGTTCCGCATCCACCATCATAGCGTCACCTTTCGCTCTTCTTCTCGACTCTAGCGGTGCTGCGGTGATCTTGCCGACCTGAAAGTCCCCCCAATCGCCAACTTGGACAAGCCGATCGGCTTTGAGACCTTGACCTCGCACGACACCTGTCAACACAACCTCACCAGTGCCCTCACTGGTCACCGCAGATTTCCCGCCTGGCCATGCGATGTCCTCTATGAACATATAACTCCTCTGATCTCGCCACCTTATTCCTTTAGTCGTGGTTGTGCATAATGATCGAACTAGATTCGAAGCCTCTTGTCGAGAATCAAGAGAGAAGACACGTTCTGTCGAAGGGAGCCAATGGGTGATATAGGACTTGAGTGAAGCAACAACCTGGGGTCTTCGCTTCGGCGGTTCGATAGCGTCTAGGCCTTGTACGACCGTATAACAGTTGGAGATACCCTGACACTCAACTGACTTCAATATTAACTCACCCTCCTGATCAACCTCTTCTTCGCAGGAAAGGACGAAAATAACAAAATCAGCAACCCGGCAAGCATCCAAAGATGCCAGAAGTTCCTTTTTGACCACAAGATATTGTAATTTTTGCTTGAATCGCTCAACCTCAGTTCGCACCCAGCCTGCCTGGGGCACTTCCTCTTCCACATCTAAACTTGCGTTCAGGCTTCGTACGGCAGCAGCGGTCGACACATGCCCGCAAAGTGGTATAACAGCAACGACCCTTGGTGCCCCATCTCTGCCAGCGAATATATTTGTGGCTTTGGCGTGTTCCTGGTCTTTGGTAAGGCGCAATTGCTTTGCTCGATTGCGCCGATCCAGCTTGGACATAACTTGCTGATGAGGGGTTTTGCGGCTTCCTCTTTCAAAGCTTTCGACTTTCCCTATCGAACCACTGTCAGTGCTGAGAGCATAACATAAGCCAGAGGGAATCAGACCTTTCGATTGTTCTTTTAATGAGCTCTTTGTGGCATGACGAGACTTGAAGGCCTTTTGGGTTTGCTTCGTGGTGCTCCGATGGTGATGCGGGGCGACCATGGGCGCCATACTGCCGCCTGCCTTGAATCTGAGAGGGAGAGACGCCACGTTGAAGAGAGACAAGAAGTGGTGAGGGGTAATCCTTATGAGGCGGCCAGTCGCGATATTTTCGTGGGAAAAATAGCCTTATCGATAGGAAATCTTGGCACCTGAACGGTCCGTGCGTTTATTTCGCTTCTATGTTTATGGCGTTGGAAGCTCTACTTTAAGTGATGAATAGCACCACTATGCAACATCACTTAGCCCTTGTCCAGTTCTCTGATTGTGTCTCGGCTACGCGATTACTTTACGAATTCCATATTTGTAGAGATGACACATGACTCGGACGCTTGGACAGAGCGGAAGCTACGCCAAAAACAATATGGAATGAGCATTTACAGTTCTCTAAGACGAACTCTAGAGCCCCGAGAATACGATCCTGGAGGTAAGAGGCAGTGGTTCTAGCTAAGTACTTGACGCGTGCTGCTATTAGGTTTTTGACCCAGGCCCCCGCTTCAGCGCCTGTAACCTCGTAGTGGACATGAGTTATGAAAGAAGTGATGTATTGTGTACTGAGAGTCTGAGGAGCTATATAATTTATATAGTATGATGAGGCGCCAAGCCCAAGGTTGGTTGGGTGGCCCATCGTAGAACCCGCCGGCTTATAGTTCCGCTGCTCAGAAGGACGGTAGGAACAAGCGGAGTCAACAGTCTGAAGTCAAAAAGCGGTCAGTGCGATTCGTTACCTTTTGTGGCAAGTAAAGTAGCCGCTATTTAGGTAGTGTGTTTGCGCTCTTGCCTCTACTGGAAACAGCCTTGATGTAAATGGTGGTATGGTTCTCCCCCTAATTTTCACAATCACTCTTCTATAGGTTCGTCAGCTCATTTGCTCGACCGCTCGCAGCCATGTGCTAGGTACATTGAATCCTTACCAGCACCTCAATACCATCGCACACCCCCACCGCCTTAACGCCAGTCTTCCCCTTTGTTATTACGACTGTCTCCAGGTAGACCGAGTCTAAGGTAGTACACATAAGGGCGGCCAGCCGCCTGGATATTTTCTTCACCTCACCCCAACAACACGCGGCAGAGCCTCTATCAACCAATTCAACCTCCCTTGTCGGGCTCACCCTACCCACGCAATTCGACAACCTCGAGGGCGCCAAAATGGGACGTAACAAGAAGCAGATGCATTCATACGGCTATTCCGAGACCCAGGAGTCAGTCATTATACTCTCGCACACGTTCTGCCTGTTGAAAGAGGCTAACATCAAACTAGGCTACAGGTCATTCCTCTCCCTGAGAAGTATGTGAGCTCCATCTCAGCAATTTTGGCTTATCCTCGAAATAGCCGTTCAAGCATTGCTATAGCTAGCCCCCAGCCATCAAGTCTCACTGACACGAGTGCAGGGTGAAGTGTAGCCGGTGCAACAAGTGGAAGAATCATGCCAACTTTTCCAACAAACAGTTGTTGGATGCTAAGTACGCTATCAAGGTCAACGGACGCAATGCCACCTACCGCATCAAATGTCGCGGATGTACCGGTCAGCAAGTCATGGAGATCGAATGCATGATGTGTCACGAGACTAAGGGGTTGGAGGAATATGCCAAAGTCCAACGCGCTAAGCCAGACTGTGCTGTAAGTATTTTACTTTGCTGAAGTTCCTAGATCTAGCATTAACTGCCCTGAAGAAATGTATGGCTTGCGTTGAGAAACAGTTGGAACTGGACGCAGTCGAAGACGACAAATATGAAGACCCTCGTGATGCCTACGAACCCATCGATCATTCCGCCGGCAACTATCCGGAGTACTGGGGCCATTCTAATATGACTTCCATTGCTTCTGATGCGGTAAGCTTCCTCTTGTGTCCCGTCTTCGACAAGACACTTGTTAAAAAAAGATAGGGAACTCATAACTTTGAGGGTTCGGATGATGGCTCTGATTCCGGCGGAGGTATCAACCTCGATGGAGATATGCACAAGCTCTCTCTCAGCACCTCCAACACTAATACAAATACTACATCACTGATCGACATCGGATACTGTGCGCACGGTGGCAATAACGGAGGTCCTGTCCAGTCTGGTGGGGACGGATGGGTTATGGCGGGAGCTAAGTCCTGGAATTCCAAGTCTCAGACTCAGCTGAGCACCTGGTCGGGCTTCGATCCGACGGCGTATGGCCACCCACGAAGTGGCGCTGACTCTGTTGCGGGAAGCGCCAATACCTTCAACTCCACAAACACCGAACAGACTGAGACTAACAAGAAAGGGTTCGCTAAGATCAAAGCCTTTGTATGTGCTGTTTCTTTCTCTTGAGTGCTCTTATTAACGAAATGTTAGAAGGCGCAGCCAAACCCCAAGCCAGTAGTAGAGGATGACTGGGAATCTGAGTCGGAGGAGTCTGATGACGGCGACGATGATGAGAGTGATGTCGAAATCTAACGAGCTCTTGCTCGTGCATTAGGTGGATCATTGACCGACCCGCTGCTATTTTCCTTCTGAATTCTCTACAGCTACCCAGTGATGGAGTCTCCATGGAAAATAAAACTAGATGTCTCCAGGCTCTGGATTTTCTTCGGAACATGGCATTATTTCAAGACTGACTGGTGGTGGCGGCACTTCATCTGGCAAGGGCTGTCGCCGGGCGATTAATGCCTCTTTCTCAATTGGAACTGGGCAGATAAAAGCGTGCATTTATATATATATATATATTATACGACATACTGCTGTGATGGTCGATACATGAAATAGCGAAGTCATTAAGTATCCCTTGTTCTCCTGAGGTGAAGTGAAAAGGGGTACAACTAATCCTATTTCGGACTAATTACTACTCGTGACTTCGCGAAGACGCGAGTTTCCCCCGCTCACTTTCGCCGGCTTGCTCTCTTGTCAACTGAGCGTCAACCCACCACGTCTAGCCTGCGCTCCCATCTTCGCTTTAACCTCTTTCACCTCGAGCCCGCCCTCAAATATTTAAGATGTAAGTATTCACAAGTTAATCAATCGTGTCCACGAGCTAATTGTTGCTCCCCAGGTCGGGACGCCGTGGTCGCAACTCGGCAGGAATTCGCGGGCCGTACGTGCAATTCTCTCCCATGTTCTCTCGGTCGAATTTCTAACGAATTCCTCAGACACTCTGCTTTGACGGACTATTTGGCGGTGAGATACATTCCCAACTGACGATGACTGTAGTGCGTGGGCTAATCCTTCCATCTCAGACCCACAACATCTCTGCCCAACAAATCCGTGATTCGTACCGCCAACGCCTTCAACAGGCCGAAGCGCAGGCCGAGCAAGAATCCCCGGAAGCTGGAGAGAATGGTGAACTAGTACAAGATGATGACGAGGCCGAGGCACAAGCACAGGCGCAGGCACAAACCGAAGCAGAGTCGTCTGCAATGGCGGCCGAGCGCTCTCGAAAGCGCAAGCGCAACCAGGAAGAAGCTATCGCGAAGATAAAGAAAGGCAAGGAAGCAAAGAAAAAAGCATCAAAGAAAGCATCAAAGAAAGCATCAAAGAAAAAGCCTCGTGGTTCAGATGACGATGATAACAATGATTCGGACTACGACGATGACTTCCTTAACATGTATAAGAAAGCGAAGCCGCTTCCCGGGCAGTTGGAGAACTGCGAGCTTTGCGAAAAGCGTTTCACTGTTACGCCGTATAGCAAGGCCGGTCCGGATGGTGGCCTGCTGTGCGCACCTTGTGGAAAGGCAGTAACTAAGGAAACAAAGGCTACGGAAAAGGCTGCTAAGCCAATTGCTGTTCGTAAGGCGAGGAGGAAGATCGAGAGCAATCGTCTAGATGGCATCACTATGCGTGGGCCCAAGACTCTTCAGCAGATTTGCATTGAAAAACTTGCAAACCACTCCGAGGATATCGAAGAATTTGGCGAATTACCGGAGGCCATCATGAACCGTCTAAGCGAGATTTTCTCTAAGAAGCGAGCTATGAACTCGACCACTGTCAAGCTGTTTCTTCGTCCTGATATGGATACTGTTGTTATTCATGAGGCAGCTTGTACGTAGCTAACGTTTTACCCCTTAGTGCATCCTAATTAATGTTCCATAGATCTCGAGACTGAAGATTTTGACCAAATCTTTGCCGTGGTCCCTGAGATAAAAAGGCTGTCACTCAAAAACTGTTGCCAGTTCAAGGATGGAAACATGGAGTACCTGATTGAGAAGGCCAAACAGCTCAATGCCATTCAGCTCCTTGGCGCAAACCTTGTCTCAAACGACAACTGGATCAATCTCTTCTCTGCCCGCGGTAAAGGACTTAAGTCCCTAAAGTTGGAATGGCTCGACGCAGCTTTCAATGACGAGGCCGTCCAAGCCCTCATAGAGTTTTGTCCTAACCTTGAGCGCTTGAAGCTTGAGCGCTGCAAGCAATTGGGCGTTGACTCGATACAAGCAATCGCAAAAGCAGACAACCTCCAACACCTTACCCTCCGCTTTTGCAAAGAAATCCCGCGCAAGGAACTCGTCGACCTCATTGTCTCTGTCGGCCACAACCTCCGCACGCTCTGTCTCGAGAACTTCCTTGACAACACTGTGGACCCAGATGACGACCTCCTCATCGCCATCCATGACACTTGCACGCACCTCTCCAAATTCCGCTTCACCGAGAACCATGAGTGCACCGACGACGGTTACTTAACCCTCTTCACAAACTGGTCTAACCCACCACTCCGCTACATCGACGTCAACAGCAATCGTGACATCGACAACGCCAACCCGGACGGTCCCGAAGACATCCCCATTGGCCTCGCAGACGCTGGTTTCAAAGCGCTAATATCGCACTCCGGCTCCCGCCTCGAATACCTCTCCATCGCATCCTGCCGCCACATATCCCACGAAACCTTCGCTTCCATTTTCGATGGCGAGAAACAATACCCCCATCTCCGCGAAATTAACATGAGTTTCTGTCCGGTTGTTGATACGCAAATCGTCGCTGCCATCTTCCGTAGCTGTCCTAAAATCAGAACTGTGGTTACTTTTGGATGCTTCGAGGTTCAAGATGTGATTGTGCCGAGGGGCATCGTGTTGATTGGGGCCCCGAGGGCACAGGATGCGATTGAGCAGTTTGGAGATGTGGTTATGGAGTTTCAGACGATGAGGGAGGAGATGCAGAGGGTGAGTGAAAGGGTTGTTCCGGTTATGGCTTAAGGGGGAGAATATGGGATGGAATAGGGGTGTGGGAATGCTTATGAACTTTCAGGTCTGCTGGCATACGTTTATGTGGCCAGTTGAAGGGATTCTGGACTTCGGTCTGATTTACCAAGAATATGATTTCACAATGGGCATTTGTAGCATCGGGGTTCTTTCCATGATTATGAGTTAGTTTTTCACCTTAAGGTCCACATAGAAATTTGGCCCTTGATAAAGTAGCTGAAGACACACCACTTTCAGGGCAACATCGTGAAGTATGGTCAGCTGCAATTGCAATTGCGCAATGCAGGCGACAAGTTCATTTGCAGTACCACCAACTCATTTCGCCTAATGACCGCCATATCCATGCCATGTTTTGTAATGCAGTAAGAAGCCTGGAATGAAGTTGACTCGGGACCCATCCTCCACGCTTTCGACCCAGCAACTAAAAGCTTAGGAAGGAGGAGCACCACGTCCACGGCCAAAGCCACCACGGAACTCAGGCTTGAACTCGCCAGGAGCACCACCCTCACCCTTCTCGCCAGCATCACGTCGTCGGTAGCCATCACGGTCGCCGCCACGTCCACCGCGTCCACCACCTGGACGCCTCTCACGGTCGTCACCACCCATCATACCGCGTGGAGGAGCGTGCGAGCGCTGCTGCTTGATGTGCGTCTGGGGCACGATCTCGGCGGGGAGGTGCAGCCATTCACGGAGGTAGTCAAGGCCCTCGGGGGTTAGGGTGTAGTAGTAGTATTGCCATGAGAAGCGGGTCTTGAGGTAGCCACGGGAGGTGAGAGATTGGCCTATTACGATCCGGTTAGAATCAAACCCATACCTGAAGAATATGGAAGGAGGAGGAACCATACAGGCCTTAATGACAAAAAGGTTCTTAGTGTCAATCTCGCCATGCTTCGGGAGGTTGAAGTCTTTCTTCGCAACGAGTACGCCCTCTGTGGTGACCGTGTGTCAGCCTCTCCTTTGTATATGCAGCCTCAAGCTGCGAGAAAATGTACTTTATGCCATAGCCATGGCTTGGAAGTCGAATACTAACCTCGGAAGAGGTACCTGGAGAAAACATATCAGTAACAGTTCGCGATTAAAGTTCAATTTGAAAATAGGGAGATGATGCTGAAGGCATGATTAAGCTGGACAATTTCAAGCGAAATTCCACGTCTCAATTGTGCTGGGGGAAATGAGCGCAGAGAAGGCGAACTGACTCGTGGATCTTCTTGCGATCGGCCTTAGGGATAAGCATCTTGACGGGTAAGGAGGTTGGCGAGATGCTCACTTGGTGTCGTTCGTGATCGAGGAAAGCTGAAGTGGAAATGTCCAACTTTGAAGTGCGGGCAGCTTAGCCTATAGGGGCTAGACTAGAAATTAGGAAGCGAGCCTTGGCATTTCCTTAGTCATAGCCTCTCCTCGGTCTTCAACTTTGCGCCTCATCTCCTTCCCCGATCTCCACTTTCACTTTCATCTTCTCACGGTCGCTGACGAAACACACGCACTTATTCCAGGCTTTCTCAGCTATATCTTCCGACTCAAGTCACACCAACTCTATTCCCACACAGCCCATCATGGATCCGGCCACCCCTCAATCTCCCATCACTATCATAATCGACAGCCTGCGCGGCCAAAACATCGCCTTCGCAACCGCGAAAGATGCCCCACTCTCCTCCATCTATGACACTCTCTCTATTCGCGCACCGTGGATCTACAACTCACCCTACATCCTCACCACCAACGCCCGGCGCAAAGTCCAACATTCCACCTCCCCGGTCTCCTCGCTACTCACCTCTCCCACCGATACATTCCTCTCGCTCCGCCTGACCGTTCCCCTATGCGGTGGCAAGGGAGGTTTTGGGTCTATTCTCCGCGCCCAGGGCGGGCGCATGTCGAGTCGCAAAAAGCGGCAGAACGGCGATGCAAATGCGTCTTCGCGGAATCTAGATGGGCGCCGATTGCGGACTGTTGCTGAGGCGAAGGCGCTTGCGGAGTATATGGCTGCGAAGCCGGAATTGGAGAGGAGAGAGAAAGAGGCGCGGAGGAAAAAGCTGGAAGATACCATTGCCAGTCTTGAAAGGAGAGAAGAGGAGCTGCGAGCTGGTAGGGGTACGAGATTGGATGGGAAGTGGGTGGAGGATAAGGAGGAGACGGAGAGTAAGACGAGGGATGCCGTGTTGGCGGCGTTGAAGTTGGAGAGGAGCAGTTCTGAGGAGGATGAAGAGGAGGTGGGGAAGAGCACGCCGGCACCGAAGGCAGCTGCCCCTAAGACGATGTTCGGGTGGGAGGACGAGGATGAAGAGTTCATGAGTGACAGTGAGGAGGATGAGGAGGTGTCTGAGGAGGACGTAAAGGCCCAGTACGAGGGCAAAGGCAAGGCCAAGGCCGCCTGAATAAATGTGTTTCTTGAGCGCGATGTATCATGGGAATTGGGCTGGGAATATACATGGGAAGGCGTAACAGCAATGCGGCGCACACATCCCAGGCCCCGGTGTTGAGCTGGTCAGTTTCACGACCTAGATATATTTAGATACCCACATCAGAAATGGAACATAAACCCTCTCCGCATACATCCCCTGCTCGTCCATTCCATCCCAACCACTAAACCCCTTCATCCTTCCTATATCCCGTCCCCCATAATATCCCCGCTACCGCATCTCCTTCGCAAAACGCCCAGCGCTCCCCTCAAATGTTTATGTTCCTCCAAACCCGCCTTCACAAGCCAGCCAACTGTTCACCACTGCACATATGGAATATATATATCCTACCTTACCTTCTGCACTTACCTGTCCCGTGGAAAAAGTCGTCTTTCCCCATCCCACCCTCCTGAATCGACTGCCCGTACCAGGTCTTCTCGGCCGACGTCACACCTTGTGGGTTCAGCGTGTTGCTGGCGGTTTGGGTTAGGTTGGCTGTCGTACCTGAAGCGAAGACAAGCACAGTACACGGTTAGCGGTTAGGGTATGTAGTTAGGAAGATTGTGGGTTGATTGAAGGCAGGCATTGGACCACAAGGCATGTGGGAACCTAATTGACTTGGGAGAGCAAAGAAGCGTATTACCACTTAATTGCTCAAATTTCTTTGCATGGGGCTTTGTGAATGTGTGCTCGCCTTCGTATTGTGTCTGCTAGCCGCCGACGTCAGTGTCCATGAGGTTCTTTGATATTGTGGCTGGGAGGTCAATTGAGATGGGGTAGGAACCGGGTTACGCTGAAGGAGAGGGGATTTCTATTTAAGACGTGGGAATTGAATTTGATCTCGCGATGCTATTTCCTTATGGTGGTAAGGAAAGAACTCTAGCTTCCTGAACTGTCTTTCTATGAACATATGTTTAAACTGACCAATCACCAAACGCCAGTATGCGGGCCTGCTCAACAAACGATTGCTGTTGAATGGTATGATTTGAAAGGAGGGATCATGAGCGTCACCCCCTGTATAGGTGAGTGTTCATACTCCCTTCGGTATCATGTCTTTGAGCAACGGAACATCATCCTTTAGTCCCCAATGGACTAGAAGCCTTAACCAACCATCTCGAACTCGGCCACTACGACAAGGATAATCATAACGCTCACTCAAAGTCCATGCCCATTAAATAACTCTCATATATCCGCATATACTTGGCAACAAAAGCCTCGAGGTGGAAAATGGCCTTACTTCCAGTCTTGCACCTATGTTCGTAAAACGCCGCCCACTTGATGACTTCCGGTTTGAGCTCGTCCTCTGTTTTTGGAATCAGCTTCCAGGTCAAAGTCTTCAGGATAGTTGTTGGGTCGATGCAATGGGAGAGGAGGTCATAGAGCTGAGCTCGGATCTGGAGGAGGCGTGCTGGACTGCGTTCTTGAATGATTTGGTCAGCTATCTGGGCGATGAGGGCTTCCCAGTCGGGGGGAGGGATGTGGGTGTTCTCTGTGATATTCTCGCTAGAAAAAGCCGTTAGCATGGGGTCTGTCTTCGCATTTGGCGAAAGTTAGCTACGAGACTTACTTCTGTGCATGCACCGCCTCATACATCAACAACGCACGCCTCAAATTCCTCCCACTATCCTTCGCAATCCTTTTATTCAGCCCATCCACCTCCTTCCACCCCTCTTTCAGTCCCACTTTCCTCAGCACCGTACATATCTCGCTCTCAGTCGGCGCGGCAACCCTCACAAGCAAGCATCTACTCCGAATCGGCGCAATGATATTACTCGTCGAATTCGCCAACAGTATCAGTCTTAAATTCGGACTATACTTCTCCATAGTCCTCCTCAGCGCAGCCTGCGCATCCCTCGTCAAATGATCCGCCTCATTAATGACAACAACCTTGAACCTTTGCTTTGCGCCAAGATCCACCTGCTGTGTCTGCGCGACTTCTTTAAGCAGGTCTTGGACCACAACTCTATCGAAGTTTCCAACATCAGATGGTGTGATTTCGAGGTGGTACACCGAGGCCACAATATTGAATTCGAGTTTCCGGTTCGATGTGGTTTGGAAGACGCGGGCGTCGATTTTTATCTTTTCGACTCCGGGGCCGTACAATTCTTTAAGAGTGGCGACAATGCGTGTTTTCTTGCCCGCACCGGAAGGGCCGTATACGAGTAGATGTGGGAAGTCGCCGCTTCGCGCCTACGTGAAAACTGCTATTAGCGGGAGCGAAGACGCAAGGCCGCGAGATTGAAGCTTACAAGAGCTTTTAGACGTTGTGAGAGGTCGGGATGATAGCTGAGAGACTCAAGGTTTCGGGGTCGGTGTTTGTCGACCAACAACGCCATTTTGAGGGTTTTGCTGGGAGAATAGTGGTGGAAAGAAAATGCACTGCATTGAGACGCGCTCAACAACGCGTAGAGTGGTGCCAAGCTTAGCTTATTGATTCAGCGTATCACGTGTTTGTACTGCTCTCTCATGGTGTGTCTAAGTCAGTATAGGGCAAATTATATCATTCAGTTAAAGCATTTCTGGTAAATATATAATGAAAGGTCTTTAAAAGATTATTATTTATGTTTTAACTACCTTATTGCCCCTTTCCCTCGGCTTAATAGCACGCTCTACGCAGGAACAACAGATTTGAATAATACACATCAAAATACAATGGCGAGAAGACAAAGACTAGCAAAGAGTCCCCTCCAGTTATACAAATATGCAAAAGGGGTATGTTAAGAGCTAGATCCTCCGCAAAACCTAAAGAACCTGGTATATAATAATCCAATCTTTCTACATGAGGTGCCCAATGCATCAAACCCCACTATTCCGAACTATTCTGAAATACAAAATGGACCTGATAGAACGAGTGACGGTAGTGAAACTGAAAACCAGTCGAAGAAACTTGAGGGTATTTGGTCGTAACGTCATTAAGGTTTCGTCCACCAGGGCTGTCTTTTTTTGACAATCTGGATTAATACCTTCGAGGCTCATAGCCTCTATCATCGTATCCATTGCTTCCACCTCTGTCGCGGTAGTAGTCAGTATCGTACATAGGCCGAGCTTGTGAAGAGTAAGAGTTGTCAGTCGAATTCATGGTGCTTCTTCGTGGTACTCCGGATGAATCTTCCTCAGCTTGACGTCGAGCCCAATCATTGCGCTTCATCTCGGCGTCTTTGGCGAATCTGCGATTTTCTTCCTCAGAATCGTACATGTTGGAGGAGAAGTAGCTGCCAGGGATGTCCCGTACGCTTGGATCTGACCTTGTGCCATAGTTTGAGAAGCTTGGGCTTCTGGGTCGACGACTATTAACATGCGAGCCAGTACGAGGGTGATTCTGATGGTGAGAACCAATTGTGGGTGGAACCCACTGGCTCTGGCTGGCTGTGGATTGAGTGCGATGGCGAGGGCTGTGCAAGACAGTATCTGACTGCATGCTCCGACTAAGACCATCTTCGTAGATCTTTCCACCCCCAGGCACAGAAGAGTATGGCTTCCGCTCACGCTCGAGCGGCATGGAGAGTGGCGTCTCATCGTCATCCGACTCTATCGCTCTCGAGTCTGGCTGGGTAGCATAGGGACTGCGTTCACGATCCAGACCTGGCGTTGGCCCACTGCTCGGACCCATGGGCGGGGGTGGGGGGAATGTCGGCGCTTTGCGGAGCGGACCGACACCCTCAGCGGAGAGAGCTGCTGCGCAACGCTGCTGTGCATGGAGATTTTCTTGGTACGGGAACAGCCGCCGGGGGAGTTCCTTTGGGAAACGTTCTTTAGCGTCGTCCGCGTTACTAATGGGAAGGTCTAGAACAGCCTTTGACAGTCGCTTATACTCGTTATCTGGGTAAGCTTGGATCATGGTAGTCATCCATTCTTGAAAGCCTTCCGGGGTCAGGGCAGGGACACGAGGCTCGCCCGCACTATGTTCCTGGATGAGGTGGTGCTGACATCGCATCTCGCGGTAGATTTTGCAAAGCTTCGGATACGACAGCCTACCAAAGATAGCTAGACATCAGGGTTAGCATAGCACAATTGAAACTCTAGACTGCCCGACTTACAGTGCCATGGGTAGATTTCCTCAGGGAGCTTGACGTCATTATAGAATTTGAGCATTTTTGAGGGCGAGATGACCAGACTCTTCTTTGGTTCGTAGTCATCAATCTGTCCAGAAGGTCAATTGTGATGCACATGTGGCGCTTTGCACTACAAGACTTACCAAGTAGACTGCCAATCCCCGGAGGAACTGTCCAAGTCGTGGCACAGGCTGCCCTTGAGGGTCAAATAAACGTTGCCACATCTTCTCGATTGGAGTGAAATCGCCTTCTTGGGACATCCTTTGGGCAGGTGGAGGTCTAGACCTGGGAGCCCTATCCGTGGGAATGTCTACGGGGGCGCTCCGTTCGTGGCGGGGGGTTGGGGTATCGCCAGACCCATCAAACATGGAATCTCGAGCTAGGGGATCAGGAGAGTCAGAGCCGTGGGAGGAGTAGTCGTGGTGTTTCGGGGACGGTGGAGTGTACACGTTTCGGGAGTGGAAAGATGCAGACGTGGAGGTGGGCGACTGTGGGATGTGTTGCGGCGGTGTAGGCTGGGCCTGACCTGTGACACCATCCACGCCGTTCAGTTTGATCTCGTCCAAAACGGACCTCTTCACCTCGGCCGTGATCTGGGCAATAAGATCTGGGTCGACAGTCCTCGCCGTGTCCGACCGGTCGAAGGCATTGCTGAGCGCATTATTGAGCGGCTGGTGGCCAGGCTGGGGCAGGCCGTCGGATGGAGCGTTGGAGGAGGCACGCGATCGCGGGCTGGGCGGTTCGTGATAGTGCGCATTTTGGTGGTATGAGGACGAAAACGACCGCGAGTCGTAGCTTGGGTCGTATGAAGACGAGTACGGTGCTTGGTGATGGTCGGGCTGGCTGCGATAGCCGTCATATGCAGCCATGACGATGTCTTGTGCCGGGACTACTGGGTCGACTTGCGATGACGCCGACTAGTCGGATGGTGGGGGTTGAAGTCTGATGGGATGACGGCGCGTCCCGTGCAGAGTGACAGAGCGCTACTCTTGCAGCATCACGGGGTACAGGCGAGGCTGGGGTGAGTAGATTGAGGGAAAGGGCGCCAGAAGATTCACCAAAAGACTCGCCAGGCGCGACCGAGATATATCTGGGAGGTGGGCGGACTGGCGCCGGTGGTCACGCCTCAGCCTTGTGGACGAGCAGCCACCTTGCGTCTTCCAGAAGGCGTGGGAGTGTTCGGTGCGCAACTTGTAGAGGAGCAACAAACAACCGGGCAAGGAAATGAATAGAACTATTGGTGTTGAGGTTTGACTGGCGATGGATCAATGAGGGCCCGCATGCAGATGCACACATGTCGGCAGGAACTCGAGAAAGGAAGCGAGCATGTCCTGCAGGAAGGAAGTGTTTGCGTCATTGCCCATGCCAAGCGAGACCTATTAAAAGTTCTGCCGTAAACCCACTCCGCTGGCGAGCCATATCAGATACATATCAGATACATATCAGAAATCCCATCACAACAACTTAAAGGAACAGCTAGCTAGTCAAGGTATGGAACTCTTTGTCGCCAAGCCACGCCGACATCCGCCATCCCACTGTTTTCCGCCGACGCGTGGCTGCTATTTCCTCTGCAGCGCGATTCCGCGCGGCTCTTGTCATTGTTTCAACCGTGTTGTTTCAAGCCCGCCCGCGAGCACCAGGGCAGGGACAGTAGTCAGCAAATGCTTGCCTGAGAGCGCACGGCCTGGCCGGCAGGGAGTCATTCATTGCTGGTCTTGAGTCTGCTGGTGCAGGCGGAGGTTTCGGTCAAGCAGGGACTGCGTGTGTATCTATGTAGCGGCCACGCCTCCCAGAAACACCGATCCAACAGGAGCCCGCATGCCAGGAAGCGCCATCTCTTTGTCCACTCTCTATCCTCCCCGTGGCGCCCATGGTGGTGCCCATGGAGCCTGGACGAGGATTTCTGTCCAGCGTGCCTCCAGCTGCCAAGCCCATGAGACAGAAACCGTGAGAGTTTGTGCAGAACGCGATAAAGAAAGCAAGCAGCGCGTCGCGGGCTCCGTGGACACTCTTGAAGCATGACGGCTGTTTGCGGAGTGAAAAATGCAGTGCTCAGGCACAAGCGGTGAAGTGCAGCGTGAGACAGCTATTTCAAGCCGAGAGTGCCCAACCCAGGCTTCTTCTGGCCGCTCTGTGCAACGGTGCTGCGTCGACTCGCCCTTCTGATCAATAACACGGCATCGTGTATATTGCACGGGGTCAGAGGCCATGCCGACCCATGGGCTGAGTGCAGATAGGCCGCGAGAGTCGGGCGGGAATGTCGGCGATGAGATTATGAGAGTGCGGTGCTGAAACATAGCGTGTGTGAAAAGGCCAGCGTCAGCGTCTCATTGGCCACAGCCCCCCCAAAGTCTGACCGAGCATCCCCTCGCTCCTCCTGAACCACCAGTGACCACCACCTTTTTCTTCGCCGCCTGTCCTGCTCGTGATTTTTGTTTCGACTGTGAGACTGCTGCTTGTTTCCTCCAGCGACTTAAGCCTTACCGCCGCGGCGTCCCAGGGGCTGCCGTCCAAGTTAATAAAGCATCCCTCAGCCACAGCCCGTGAAGGCACGACTTCTGGCAGTCACTCCGGTGCTCTTGCTATCGACAAGTTTCACTCCTTCCCCGTGTGCCCACGCCGAAGGACTCTCCCGCCCCCCCCCCTCGCTGCTCGGTCGACTCGCACGCCATTCTCTGACCCACTGCTATTGTCATCGTTGTGACTATTGTGAGCCGCGGCTCAATAGATACATAGGCACGGCTATCCGTAGGACGGCTTCAGCACCTGCACCTGCACCTGCACCTGCACTCAGTTTCGTGTCACGTCCCGTCTGCACCTCCCGCACCTCGAGTCGTCTCCCGCACCTGCCTGCCCGCGCCGAAGCAAGCGGCGTTGACTCTATCTCGAATCTCTCGTTCGCCTCATCTCAGTTCCATTTCTGCCCGCCAACCTCACCATGCGTCTTTGATACGCCACCGCCGAATCCGACATCGACACAAGCGAAGCGTGCGTTTGCAGGTCCCACAAGCACCTGCGTCACAAGTTGCACACATCCATCTGGCCTCTCTGCACATCGCATATGGCAATGCTGGCTTCAAAGTCGCCCTACCCCGCGCCCTCCCTCGGCGGAGGCTCCCTACAGTCGTCGACCCAGTATGGCTCCAACGTGGCGAGCTACCGCAACCATGCCACGGCCGCGCGGACCGAGCATGCCTTCTTCTCGTCCCCCACTGAGTCTGAGTTCTCGGAAGTCTACGACGCCCCAGATTCTGTCAGGTATGTTAACCTGGCCGCCCGCTTAGCTCAACTACACTAACGCGTACAGGCATTGGGACGAAGACAAAGTCGGCGATTGGTTGATGCGAATCAACTGCTCGCAGCACATTGAGCTCTTCAAGAGTATGTGTCGTCCTCCCTCGCTGCTGTTCCTCAGCTAACCCTGCCAGAACACCACATCAACGGCGAGATTCTCATGGAGATCGACCAGACACACCTCAAGGATATGGGCATCAAGAAGGTCGGCGACCGTGTCCGCATCGGTTCGCAGGCAAAACAGCTCCGGAATAAGGAGTACAAGAAGGCCTCCAGACGGACTTCAAATAGGGTAAGCTGACTACCACCACCCACCCTTCGCTTACAGCTGACTGACCGGTGTTGCAGCAATCGCTCGCGACGTTGGATGCCGCTGCCTTCACCCCACCATCATCCGGCTCCCCTCGACCCCTACCTTCCGCTCGTTCAATGCCCACTAGCTCTAGGTCAGAGAAGCGCATGTCACGCCAGATCACCAATTCAGACCTCAACTATGCGTCGGCACTCTCATACGGCGCCAAGTCTCCTTCCCGGCCAGGCTCACCCCTCGTAGATCAGGAAAACCGTGGTCTCAGGTCCCAACGTCATGGCGGAATGAACAGCCCCAAAGACCCGGGCAAGAAGGATTTCGGCGCGTCTTACTCTGGCCATCCGCTCAGCGCCTCAAGCAGTGCCAACACTAATTCACGATATGGATCCACTCAACGCACCACGCCTACCGAGACTCCTCAGACAGCTCGATTTGCTCATCACGTGCGTGGCACTCCGAGTTTCGATAGTGCCACAAACAGTGCTATTCTGCCCCATGACAAAGCTCTGATCCGTGTCATCTACGACACAGGGCGGACATCAGTTGTGAACATCGAAGGCTTCAAGAGTGCGGATGATATCATCCTGAAGACTTTGAAGAAGGGGCTGCTGAACGAAGCCCACGTGAAGAACTACTGCTTCTATGTCCTCGACGGAGTTGATCCGAACCCTGCACTATGCCGCAGACTGACTGACGGTGAGCTCGTTCGCCTCTGCAACGACCGCAATCGACATGAACGAGGGAGGCTTATCCTACGGAAGATCCATACCGGAGAACCAGAGGACGATCAGCTGAAGACTGCTGCTGGCATCTACCAACAGCAGGCTCTACAGCAGACTCAAAACATTATCGTACCAGCCAGCAGCAGGAGCCAAATCAAGATTGAAAAAATCACTGGCGAATCGCTCGCTGCTGTTAGCTATCCCCTCTCCCCGACGTCTGCTAGGGAGCGGGAGCGACACATCCACTCGACTGCTCAGGATCTAGAAGGCCCTGCTCGTTCACCACTGCATGCTGCCCGAGCTCGCAAGCTCAAGCAGTTCTATGGAGCCCGTCCTCCAAGTGAACTCATCACATCAGATCTCACTTCGTACTTCCCAGACGTGGAAAAGGATGAAATTGATAAGACGATACGTATGTCTATTAGGCGCTCTCGCCGTCTCAGCCGTGCAGCGTCCCGCCTTTCTATGGCATCGAACTTTAGCGTTGCATCGAGTCTTCGTGATGCTCCCCCTCTCCCATCCATTGCCGATAGCTGGCTCCAGCAGAGTGGCGGCCAAGCACGACCTCTGCGTCCACTTTCTGTCATGAGGCTTGGCTTGCCCTCTCAATCTGGATACCGTGACTCCGTTGCCTCTTCTGTTCTCGAGCCTCTTGAAGAGGAATCGCCCCTTGAGCCAAACCGGAAATCGTATGTCTCCTTCGGCGGAGAGAGTGGCTCCGATACTCTTGCAATTACCGACCCCGAAGGACATACTACATTACAATCCTACTTCGACGACGGTGGTAGTAGCCTGGCTGGCAGCAGCGCGGGCAATACCGAAAATGGTGATTCGCTCAATAAGCGCCTCTCACAGGCTATTGCTGAGGATGGGGAAGAATACGACGACGAGCTCTCCGAGTACCTAGAGCAAGATTCCTGGGAGAATGTCAAGTACATGAAGGGTGCCCTGATTGGACAGGGTTCCTTCGGCAGTGTCTATCTCGCCCTGCACGCAGTCACGGGCGAACTAATGGCTGTCAAGCAAGTTGAAGTACCTTCACCCTCGGGAACTTCGCAAATGGACCAGAGGAAGACGAACATGGTCGAGGCCCTGAAGCACGAAATTGGCCTCCTCCGTGACCTGAAGCACAAGAATATCGTGCAATACCTCGGCTCGAACTCGGATGATCACCACCTGAACATTTTCCTCGAATACGTTCCTGGCGGCTCCGTCGCCACTATGCTAGTCAATTACGGTCCCTTGGGAGAATCCCTTATCCAGAACTTTGTCCGCCAGATTCTCCAAGGTCTTTCATACCTCCACTCTAGGGATATCATTCACCGAGATATCAAGGGTGCCAACATTCTCGTGGATAACAAAGGATCAGTCAAGATCTCTGATTTTGGCATTTCAAAGCGCGTCGAAGCTTCCACACTTCTCAATGGACCGGGCGGTGGCAAAAAGGGTCAGCGAGTCTCCCTCCAAGGCTCCGTTTTTTGGATGGCCCCCGAAGTTGTTCGCCAAACTGCCTACACTCGCAAGGCCGATATCTGGTCGCTTGGATGTCTTATTGTTGAGATGTTTACTGGCAGCCATCCTCATCCCAACTGTACTCAACTACAAGCCATCTTCAAGATCGGTGGGAGCGGTGATGCGAGCCCAACAATGCCCGATAATGCCGGCGAAGACGCGAAGGCCTTCCTCTCACAAACATTCCTCATCGATCATGAGGCACGTCCCAGTGCTGACGATCTCTTGGCAAGTCCTTTCTGTACCAACCAGGCTGCTTGAAGCATTCATTTTTTGTATTTGATTAATAACTTTATCTCGGTGTTTTGGACACCGTAATGGTTCGACGTGAGCACGACAACGAACTGCATAGCATGGAAAGGCCAAGGAGGATGGGTATTTTTGGGGGACAAAAAAAAAGAGAATCTAGTCTCATTTTCTTTTATGGTTAATGGCAGTCCCATCGTTGGTTGCTTTCCTCCTATCTTCCCCCAGCCCTTATTCATTTGAACGAATGTAATTGTACGATACTATACCACGCCAAAGATCGATTTTCAAGGCCGCTGTGCGGAGACTTCACTTTGAGGGGCGCACGCGGTTTCTGGGAATTGTATTTGTAGTTATGACTACTTTGAGCTTTTCACACTACAACTCCGTCTTTGAACATGCTTGACTGCGTTGGTAAAATTCTATCGAGAAGAAGTTCGAAGGTATGACTAAATCTAGATTGTGGCTAAAGCTTCTGCCACATCCCCTCAAGCCCGCCACCGGCCATCAAATGTCCCGTCTCAGACACCGCGAGTCATCACATACAGTCCCTCTTTCGGATCACAGCCATTCCGCATCAGTTCCCGAAATGCGAACCGCATGCAGCACACAACGGACCCGAACCGGGTCGTTTCCCCACCTACTGGGCAAGCTGTCACTTGACGTAAAGACATTCCCGGTAGATGATAGGTGAGGGGCACGACAAAGAGTCCGAGGAGCGACGTGAGATGTACCAAGACCGAGGCAGGCGACTGGGGTGGCTGCTTTGCCAATCCTCGCGTACGTCCATCTCCGCTAGAGCTCGGTCGAGATGAGGTGAGGATTAGGGTGAAGAAGGGATAGTGGGTCCGGATACTATACGTGGGTAAGGGGTACGAGACTTTGGTTGAGGGTGAGGGTGAGGGGTACGCTTATGTGTGGATGGACTTCCGTCATCTCATGGGTTTTTGTTGATCTCGCTTCTCTCCTTTCCTTCTGAAGGTCTTCTTCTATCCATAGCTCTCCTGCATATTTGGACCGATAAAGCCGACTACAACTTTCTAAGACACCAACGCCATTAATTGCACAACCATGAGCAACGTGGATTTACCGAAGAAATATAAGGCGGTCGTCTATGACAAGCCGGGCAGCATCTCGACTAAAATCGAGGAATTGGATATGCCAGAACCGGGCCCAGGACAGGTTCTCATCAACTTGTACGTTTTGCTCCCTCTGCTCATTTGTCCATCCTTAGCATTTCCTCTCCGCTATTATTCTCCTATATCAGGTCACCCTTGGCATTCTCTCTATTCGAGTCTTAAATCTAACGGCTTCACAGATCCCACTCCGGTGTCTGTCACTCAGATATGGGCGTCATGATGAACTCATGGGTGATTCTACCCGCACCGACACAACCGGGACAAGTCGGCGGTCATGAAGGCGTGGGCAAGATCGTGAAGATGGGTCCTGGAACTGAGAACTCTGCCGTGAAGATAGGAGACCGTGTTGGTATTAAGTGGATGGCAGGGACTTGTGAGAGCTGTGAAGCTTGTTTTGCAGGCGCGGATGCAAATTGTTTTAACGGGGTGAGTTTAAACTTCTTCTTACCTACGAGCCTACAGTTTGTCTTAGGAGGAAACCTAGGAATACGGGGGGTGATAATTGTACGCTAACATGGAGCATAGAAAATATCTGGGTATTATACTCCTGGGACCTTCCAGCAGTATGCCCTCGGCCCAGCCAACTACGTAACTCCCATCCCAGACGCTCTCGACTCAGCCGCGGCCGCACCCATGCTCTGCGCTGGAGTCACAGTTTACTCCGCTCTTAGAAAAAGCGGCGCGGAATCTGGAAACTGGGTTGTTATTCTAGGCGCTGGAGGAGGCTTAGGCCATCTCGCCGTCCAATTCTCTTCTAAAGCAATTGGGCATCGTGTCATCGGCATCGATCACTCTTCAAAGAAAGACATTGTGTTAGAGTCAGGGGCAGAGCACTTCATCCCCATCGACGGCACAGACAACATACCCGAGACTGTCAAAGCGCTCACAGGTGGTCTAGGCGCCCACGCCGTGCTCGTCCTAACCGCCAACAATGCCGCATACGCCACCTCGGCCGAACTCCTCCGCTTCCGAGGACGTGTCGTCTGCGTCGGGATCCCAGAAGGCGAGGCAGTGGCGATCAAGAGCGCCCTGCCACAATTGATGGTGGCCAAGGAACTGCAGATTGTTGGTGTGGCGGTGGGAAGTCGGAGAGAAGCGATTGAGACATTGGATTTCGCGGCCAGGGGAGTAGTTAAGACGCATTTTAGGACGGAGAAGATGGATAGGCTGACGGGAGTCTTTGAGGATATGTTTGAGGGGAAGTTGAAGGGGAGAGTGGTGTTGGATCTTTCGTAGATCTGTATGCTGGGGTTGTTGGAAATGAGGTTTGAGATTAGATTTTCATGCTCGACGGGTTTTGCTAGAATAGTGAATGTAAAGATGAAAAGATGTACTGCCCCAATATTTTCTGGCCATCAGCATAATCACCAGTAAGCACCGTGATACATGGGAAGAAAGAAAACACATCGTCGCTCCAATAGAGATCGACGCCCAACATGGGGGGGGTGGGGTTTGTTTGAGGTTGCGCATTGGCCAATCACATGGCGCTTATCGATTGCAGGCGAGGTCTCCTCATCCTAGAGGTCATGTCATGCCATGGATCGACGCAACAGTTCAAGTCCACCGCTATGGGCGTTGCTTCACTGCAGTTCACCTCTGACTCCAATCTACAATGGCATTGCCAGCTAGCAGGTTTCAGGCTGCGTTGAGGCTCGCCGGCAGGAGCTGGACACGGCCATGTCTGGCTCCACTACGAACAGGAGCATCATGGCGGGCGTTTTCTGCGAGCTCGAGATGGCAATTGCATACAAAGGAGATGCACGAAGAGCTACTCTCTAGCTTGAAGGTCAATCAGAGCAGGCTAATGGAGGACATACACTATACATGTCAATGGGGCACGGGTCAGAAGTGGGGAAAGGAAGAGACAGAAACCGGCATGTCACGACTAGCTCTCTCAGACGCCGACAAAGAAGCCCGAGACTGGTTCGTCCAGACCACGAAGGCATTGGGCTGCCATACAACGGTGGATTCTATGGGCAACATCTTCGCCATCCGGCCTGGTATTCGGAACGATGGGCCCCCAACCTTCGTGGGGTCGCATCTGGACACGCAGCCGAGCGGAGGTAGATACGATGGCATCCTAGGCGTCGCAGCTGGTGTGGAGATGCTGAAGGTGCTGGCGGACAATTGGGTTGAGACCGAATATCCTGTTGGAGTGGTAAATTGGACAAAGTAAGCTCCTCACGTGCTCTGATCGACGCAATGCTGACAGGAATGCACAGTGAGGAAGGTGCCCGCTTTCCCATCTCCATAGTTTCCTCGGGTGTATGGGCTGGCGCAATTCCCCAGGAGACAGCCCACAACCTCCGCGAAGTTCATCCTGGTACCGCGACCATGGCTTCAGAGCTTGCAAGAATTGGCTACTTGGGTGAGACCCCAGCCAGTTTCAACAACATGCCTATGGCTGCACACTTTGAGCTGCACATCGAGCAAGGACCTCTTCTTGAGATGGCAAATAAGAAGATTGGAGTGGTGAAGGGCGTGCAAGCCTACAAGTGGCTCACGGTCAATGTCAAAGGACGGGATACCCACACAGGGACCACCGACCTGAAGAGTCGTGCTGATGCTCTTCTTGCAGCCTCGAAAATGGTCATCCATTCACACCGTCTTGCTACCGCCAATGGGTGTCTAGCCAGCACCGGCATCCTCAACCTCAAGCCAGGCAGCACAAACACCGTTCCAGGAGAAGTATCCTTTAGTCTTGACATCCGCGCACAGAAAGACCACACAGTAGCAAGAATGCTCCAGCACATCGAAAACGACTTTCCTAAGATCGCCGCCGGCGAAGACATTCTTAACTCCAACCAAGATTGCACCAAGGGCCTTCCATGCTCTATCACCATCAACCAAGACTTCGACTCCCCAGCCACACTATTCCATCCAGACTGCATTGAAGCTGTTAGCAGAGCCGCCCATAGCGTCCTCGGAGAGAACTCGAAGAATCTACTTCTGGAGATGACGAGCGGTGCCGGACATGATTCCGTATATACCAGCAAGCGATGTCCAACCAGCATGATATTCGTGCCTTGCAGAGAGGGAGTCAGCCATAACCCCGCTGAGTACTGCAAGCCGGAGGATTGCACTCTAGGAGCGCAAGTGTTACTTCAGAGTGTGCTGAGGTTTGATCGGATGAGGGATGAGAGAAGGGTGACCTGGAAACAGGAGCCCTATACACTGTAGTTGAGAGAGATCATTGCATCGGCGTTGTTAAGATTGTCTTCGAAGGGATGGGGTTTCTAGGAGTTTACTGTAAGCGTGTGTTCTCGGTCAATTGTACGTCCTAATTCTCAATCCTTAGGATATAATTGAACTTCAAAATAGTCAACTTAAACTCTGACATAACATCCCTCAGCTTTCCCCGTTAAAACACGCATTCTAGAGCTTGCGCATCGCCCACCGTGCACAAGAACGCTAGCGTATCTACACAGCAGGTCCTTGTGTCAAACTCCACCCCAGCGTCTCATTCCTGTCTCTATTTCCATCTTGAACCGAAATCACAAATACCGTGGCCTAGTATGACCCCAGAAATATGACGTTGCTTTTTTCCTTCAAAGTTCACAGCCCACCGCGACTATTCCCGCCCTCTTTGGCCTTCCATCTCGGAGGTCCAACTGATTGAAGGTAAGATTCCTTTTTTGGCTGGCTGGGGAGCTTGGCTGGGGAAGTTTCTCTGGCGGGCACAGAAATACTGTTGTTTTGTTTAACCGGAGTCTGCATGTTCAGATGACGATCGCTATACTGGAGGTAGTATCACTCTTTCTAAAGTATAGAGGGTGCTACCTATCTGTGGGCACGAAGAAGCGGCTCTCACAAGCAACAGATACATCCTTTCACCTACCCAGTTTACAGCTTAAAATACACCCTATTGTGGTCTTTTGTCTAATATCCTTCAGTCTTTCCTCCCCAGGCCTCTCCTGTGTTTGCTTCCGCTTCGAAAGCAATATTCCATTTGCCAACTTCCAACATAGACGCCTTTACCCCCCAACAACCAGTAGAACTCTGCTCTCGAATAGGGCTTAGAAAAGTGTAAAAGCATATAGATAAACTGTCAATCAACTCCTGCCTCACGGGTCCTCGCTTAGACTTCGGGTACTATATATCTTCACTCTATCTCCCCTTTCTTACCCCTTCTCCAATCTCACTACAATCCCCATGCTTAACCTAAAAACTAATATCTCCCCGACTGCGCAATCCTAAACCCCACCAACGCCCCGGGCCTATTCCGCCTCCTCGGCGCACTCCTCTTCCCAATCGGGCTCGTCATGGTCATACTAATTGGTGCCGACCTCTTCACCTCCAACATATGTTGTGCGCTTAATCCCTCCTTGACTGCCGGTAGTCTTCCCTCCAATACCTCCCAATCTCTTCATATCCTTCTTCGGCAATCTCGCGGAGATACCGTTCTTCATGACCATCGTGACTAGCTACGCTGGGGTGTTTAAGAACACAGAGAGGTAAAAGAAAGAGATGGCGAGGTTGGTGATATAGAAGGCTGTGCATCTAGAATGATATATGATATTTGAGGATCATTGGGGCGCGGGGATCTATGAGAGCTAGCCCAAACGCAATTAGGGACGGGTTGTTTAGGGCCGTAGAGTAAGGAGTTTATGAGGGGATAAGGCTGTTAGGGAAGGAGAGGAAGAGGGAGAGGGAGGGTGTTTTTCTTTCTAATTCTACACGCTTCAATCAATAGCAGTACAGGAATGTCTTCCCACTTCATAACCTATTCACACTCTTCTCTACGAACAGATGACACGTTCATAACTATGGAAGAAAGGGCTTGCAGAATGCATCTTAATATAGACTAGACTACCGTTAGTGCAGATACTATGTTGGTAAGCGTCGTGAGAAATGCCATCGACAAACCCCCAGGTGTTAAGGACCGAGGACGTCATGGATGCCAGGGGTCTCCTACTAGTTGACATCCTTGACCCATCTATAAAACAGCCCCCCGAGTCGTAGCAACAAGAATAAATAAAGCGTGGACCTTTATTGTTTACATAACAATTTAAAGGGCTAGGTAGACCTGTACGGATCTCTACGTGGCTAGCATTTAAGGGGGGGGCTAACATGACTCCATTCCTCTTACACTTCAATCACCGAAATCTAGCCTGGTAACAAAATATACTTGTGGGCTTTCTAAACCTCATCTTATTAATACCTCGATCTTATTATCTCTCAATTGCTACGATATTTTATCTGCCTACAGTTTTCACGACCCAATACCTGACACTCATTATATGACCCATTCTGAAATTGAATCTATCAGCATCATCCCAATTTGAATTGCGAACGGACTCAACCCCATCATGAGATCGACGCGGTTTGCCATAATAGGGCACCACAACTCCAGCGGCATCCCAGACCACATCATCCATCTACCAACGTACATAATAACGAACAGAACCACATACCCAGTGTACCAGAGAAAATCCTTGGTTTCCCAGGGCATAGTCCACGGCTCGTTCTCTCGCTGACCATGTTCGAAAACTCTGCAACAGGCGAGACAAGCAAAACAGGGCCCACAACAGACCGCCACCGCTCCAAGAAACACAGCCATGGCAAGTCCTACAATAACAAAAAATATCAACGGAATCAACGCAATCACTGCACCAACTCGATAACTCGGCCAGTTCCCCTTGTCCATCGCAAAGTCTCCCGAAACCATGGTTGCAGTTCCGACGAACTGCGCAGCTATCAGACATATAATTGAATCCACGACGAAGGAATAGAAGGCTGCACCAGTCCACCCACGATGATATCCAAGGAGCGAGATGAATGGCGTCGCTCGTGGTCGAATAGCCCACAGTTGGAAAAAATCCCAGATTCGAGCATCACCTCCAGGAGGTCGGGTAATCACAGCGAGCCCGTACGTCGTCGCGATAAGACCCCCAAGCTTGAAGATGAGGGTGAAGATATTGAAATCGATAGTGTAGTTGTCTCCGGGATACCTTTTGCGACCACAATAGCCCAGTCGCCGGTTCCCACCGAAGAGGACAGCCAGGAACGCCTCGAGATTGAAAAGAATGAGTTTTTTGATAATGGTCTTGTGCGTTGTGCAGTCATTTTCGGTACGGGTGAGGATTCCACTGAGGAGTCCCCAAGACGAGGATGTAAATGCAATGGGGTAGCCAGTTGCAAAGCATACCAGCAATGCGAAGCCTCCAATTAAAATAAATCTGGATGAAGGTGACATTCTGGAGGTATGTAACGGCTATGTGGTTTAAGATATAAGTGTAAAGGTGCTATTCTAGCCATGCGGGGGACGCAGTGGCCCACAATGTAGAGCGGCTTTCTCTTATACTTCCCAACTCATGGACCTCGCTTCTCATTTCCATATGTAGATAACCTCTCATACCAATACTGATCCCGAGAACAAATTCTTTTGAACAGACAGGCAACTGTGGGGAGATGAAGAGGTGACACCAAGAAGGCTGAAAGCCACTTTTGCGCCAAAGCCTATTACGGTCCTCAGCCTTGCAAAGGAACTTCAACTTCATGCTTCAGCTCTGTTAAAGAACTCTCGTGTTTAGTGGGCTGTCGCAATTTACGTCAGGCCATTACCATAACCATCCATCCGTTCACGAAAAGAACTTAGGCTACGAGGTTTGGCCCTTTCCTAATTTTGTACCGCCAGAGCCAGGCAAATCAGATCTTTTCGCAAACAGGCAGAGTGAGGTTTAAGTGACACATCCTTCCTGATATGTCCTTGTTTATTCTCTTATTTCATACGTACTAGTATTATTCCGACAAGCTTTCGCTCCAGGATCGGCATCTGAAAGTCACTCATTCGTTCAATTATATCTTTTCAACTTGCATAATTTCGCAGGCGAATCTCTTAATACCTGAGACTCTTACCTTGCGCAAGCATCACGTAGATAATTGAAGACAATCTTATTACGGACTTCCTCGTTACATTTATGGAATAGTCCGGTTATCTTTTCCGACCACTACGTTCAACTCCCTACACACGACGAGGATAAAGGGGAAGACGGAGATGAATTAACGACCAATCGTAGTCCCAAAAAAAGCCCCTCAGACTTGCCCTAGCCAGCTCACAAGAGAGAGGAATAAGAAATGGCAGCAAAGATAACAATGCCTTAATTTGTAAGCTGCAAGCTCAAATTTCCCGGAAAGTATAAATTCCTAAGATACTAGTATGAATACTGCTTTTGCAAAAGGATTTAGAAAGGATGGGGACGGAAAATTTATCTCCTCGGACTGCTCACGGCTGTTTAAAAAGTCAAGGGATTTGACTACTCACTTCAACCGGATCTACTGTGATATTTGACGGACGAAGCGAGTATGTTGTTGGTATAGGACTTTCAGTAGACTAGGATCTCAGTTTTACTGCCTAAGATAGAGGATGTCTAACAGAGGAAGATGGCAAGGGGTTTAGATAAAGGAGTATATTTTTATCTAATGAGCATTGGAAAATATTATTCTCTCACACAGCACTTCCAGCAAGGCGTAGTACTGTACGATTGGGCGATTTTGAGGCCTGTACGGGTGAGATGTTGAGTACGTTCGTACGGCAGGGAGGAAGAGAGGTAGGTGTACGTATTGTAACTGTTACAGCTTACATAATCTATACAAATAAGCTTTAGCTTTAAAAGTTTTAATTTTATTTTAGCTATCTTTAGTAATAAAATATATAAGTATATTAACTATTCTAGTTAATTATAAACTTAACTTTAGTATTTGTAAGAGGTATCGAGCAGGAAACAGAGGTCACAGAGAGGGAATGCAGGATAGAGGGGTGTAACAAGAGTAAACCTTAGGGTTAGAGGCAGAGGTACAGAGGCTGAGGAGCCTATATACCCCGTGCCAAGCCTAGGGTACTCAGGGGTTAGATAGCTGTAACATAACCGTGATAGTATTATAATTATAGTTTTTAAAAATTGCTATAATTAATCTTTAGCTACAAACAGTATACTATTTTAAAATAAAGTAAAAAATATAGTGTAAAAGGCTTTTAACTTCTACAGCCTATAAGACTATGTAAAATAAATAATAAAAGTATTTAAGTAACTAAATAAAGCCTATAAAGTAGTAAAGTTTATTAATAGATAACCTTTTAATAAAAGTAGTTAGTAATAAGCATTTTTAAAATAATAAACTATAGATAAATAGTTTAAAAACTTAAAAATTTTATTACATGTTTTTATAAACTTTTTTTAGCTAATTAAAGCTTTAAAAACTCTTTTAAAAACTCTTAAAAGCTTACTACTTACTAGAGCTCTTTTACTCTTTTAAAATTACTATATAAACTTTCTAAAAGGGTAATATAGTCTGTACTACGTACTGTACCTAGGGTATTATTAAACGTACAGTACGGCTCACGGGCTCAGTACGTTCGTACTGATCACGTGACTGTTACGGTTCACTTTGTACGGGCTGTAGTACTGCCCGTTGGAAGCCCTGCTCTCACAACCCCTTCCAGCACTTTCTTCTAATATAAGAATACGACATGTAGGAAATAATTGTAGCTAAATATCTTTGTAGCATACTTCTAGAATTGTTCTTGTCCTTCTACATAATAGCTGCCTTCCATCCTACCCTCTAAAACCCTCCACCCAACTATATCGTCTCAGCCCTCTCTACTAGCCCAGAGATCCGCTATCGCCGTAGTACCGAAGATGTTGAGGGGATAACGGGTGCTATACTGGACAAACGGGCAGGGGTAGGAATGTAGAACCCTCTGGTTTTCTCCCGAAGGCATATTCGCACACACCACACTCTCTAGACAGGATAGTCCTGGTTCGGACCCCACATTGCTGAAACCATACTAGAAACTAAAGAAAAGGACGGTATGTACTGAAAATGGAGACGCTTACATGTAGCCACAGCACCGGGCATCTAATATCCCAAAGCCTATTATGCAAGCCATCTCTATCCCTCAAATTAATCGCCGCCATTCGTGCCCTTCTCCTTCCATAGTCACCCTGGTAGTTGCCTTTGATCGTCTTTTTCCAAAGCTCCCTGACATCATTCGAACAGTTCTTTCCAAAGCCGATGTCAACCAAGAAGTTACAATACTCGTCACTTGGCTGGAAATCTGTAGTTTGGTCGTTGGTCGTCCATTCGTTGATGGTGGGCGTAAGGAGATCGGGAGCGTTCCAGCATCCCAGGGAGCGCGTGCGGTCAGATTCGAAATCGAGAGATGTGCCTAATGGGATGATGCCTAGGATCCATTTTCCATCAGTGGGAAATAACAACAAAAATTGATGCCATTGCGTTAGAAATTCTCCTACTCTCTTCGGTGCCACCAAAGCCATCCGAACTGTGATCCAACCCCCTTGACTCGTCCCTAACACAAACGCTTTCTGAATCCCTAACGCATCCATTACCTGCACATTCATAACTGCAGTGTCCCAATACGTCCAGTTCTCGTTCTCCGCGCGAGTCTGCCCGTGACCGAGGAGTTCAATGGGTATGAGATTCATTTTGGAAGTAAGATCTTCGTTGGAGTACTGGTCGCGATAGAGTTCTGATGACGTTGTGAAGGAATTAACCATGATGAGGGTGGGTTTTGATTTATCGTACGGAGCTGGCATTTGGTAAGCGGCGTCGATGCCGCCAAGGTGGGGGACCCGGACGGTTTTTGTGTTTGACATGGCAGCTGTTACTTTTCCAATTTTGATAAACTGGTGTTGATAGTTTTTTGCTAGATAAAGATTCGAAGCTGGAGAGGGATCTACGTTATATCCATGCTGATGGTATGATATCCGCGGTAAGTAGAATGTACCCCTCAATCAATTGCGGGGAGGAGGTGCTAGGCATGACATTGAGCCGGAAGAGGACCTTTGTTGTCGAGAGCCCGAAAACTACTTCCGGCTTTCCTATGGCTCAAAGCGTGAGTGATTGCTGGTCTGCCATCGGATCCGCGACCATGATTACCTACAAGTGCTTATATCCGGGGCTAATTCTACGTGCTGTACCCCGGGTTTTCTTCAAAACCTAGTTGTACTAGGGAAGGATCGTCGACTAGTCAGGAGCTTGAGTGATTGTGAAGGGCTCAAGTACAGTTTATTCAGAGCTCAGTCGGGGATGACGTATAGTCTAACCAATCAAAGAGTCGATTTTGAAATGCTTGGAAAGTGGAGAAGGAAGAAGACATGCTTTACCAAATTCGCACAACCATGCCGTATACATCGACCAGCGATTTCCAAGCTAATCGGCCTTCATCCCCACAACACTTCCGCTGCTTCTCCTACTCAAATTTCCCACCCTTAACGCCTTGTCTCCAGACAACACTTCCTAGGAACCCAGAAGCCATCCCTAGCCCCGCACCACTCAAAACTGCCTTCCCTATTCCCACCGGCATCTTCCCTCGTCTCGCAGCTAATACCCCTGTAATTACGCCTACCACAGCTCCCTCTAAAGTCCACCAATCCTGCTCAACCTGCCCTTTATTCTCAATCAACCTCCACGAACGGTCTTTCCACTCAATTTCCTCCCTCCCTCGCATTCGAGCGAACGTCGCAACAACTCCAAAGATCGACCCGATGACGAGTCCACGTGCTGAATGTGTGAGGAGTCGAGGTATTAGAGTAGAGGCATTGAACGCCGTTGCGTGTCGGTAGCGGGAGACGAGCAACGATGAAGGTGCGGTTATTAGGGGGAAAACAGAGCCCATCATGGCGCCTGCACGGATGACATGGAGGTAGAGGATTTCGTGGGAGAGTGGCTGGTCTTCTGCATAGGGGGGATGTGGGAATAGCGATGTCATTGTTGAAAGTGGAAGGACGAGGTCGCTACGTTGAAGGAGGCTAATTCCTTTCGAATGACTTGCGATGGGTCTTCTTCGCGAGGGGTAAGGGGAATTGTTCTCGCTGAGTGTTAAGTTGAAGGATTGTGAAGCAATTGTTCAGGTAGGTTTAGCGGAATAGTTTTGTTGATGAAGAAGGACAAAACATATCAAATACGATGTATGGAGCGACATGTTGGAAGAGGCCAGGCAATCTTTTCAATACCTTCTTTGACGCGAAGTGGCATGACACAAGATCGTCTGCGGACGTAACCAGCGCCATGATGTTGGCCCGTGCCCCGATTCGCCGACTTCCACCCTCCGACTTCCGAACGTGGCTTTCAATTCCAGATTCTTTGATACGCGGAGTCCACGGGCTCCGCTGAGCAAGCCTGAGATTGATGCCGCTTGGAATCCTTACCGCTGATTGTTCTGTTTTATAATAGTATTGAGCCAGACTTACAATCTACCACTTCGACTTCGGCCGTATATAATACTCTTGTCTTCATAGCATCTAGACAGGGATCAATACTAAGCCGGGGCGGGGTATCGGGACTGTGATTGCTTCCGTGCCTGTTGAAGAATTTCGATATTTTCCTACTCCGTACCAGTGCTGGAGTTCACATAACTCCTACTGCCAGAATCACTAACGTAAAGGAAACTCAATACAATTTCTGTTAGATAACCTTTCAAAATTTTAGCTTTCTTTATAATGATTCCTTCAAATTCATCCTTGAAATTGGGGAAGGCAAGTCACCGCGATGTCAATGAGGACTGAAGGTGTATCGTTTACCAAGATTTAATATATAGATGCAGGCGTGACGTCTTTGACTCCTTCGGCGCTAGGTCAACTTTCAACCCAGATTTAATTTACCCAAGGCTGATGGCATGCGAATTGACGTAGTCCGCAAAGCCATATAGTACCTCCCACCCACAAGACATCGGCATCTGACTATTCCCAGGCATCCTACCTCGTGCTCCAATTCTTTCATGCAGAAGTATACGGAGCAGGATAGACGTGAGTATCATTAATTGCATTCACTCCTTAGCTCAACGCTAGTCCATTCCATCCATCTCATGCACCTATGTCACGCACCCATCTCGCGCACCTTCAGGCTCCAGATCTGAAATCATCACCTAAGAAAACCTTTCAGTCTGTAGCATAAACTTCATCTCCGAATGCAGCGTCCGTCAAACAGAGGTTACAAGTACAAAGAGAGTTCAAAATATTCGCTATTCACAGGTTAACCACACACCAACCGCTTTCGGAAATACGTACCTCTACCCACTCCCTTAGACTTCTTACACCACAGTTCCCATTGGAAATCTTTCTCCGAGGCCCTTGACCAGACAGTTCTTGCGGAAATCGCGCTATTGGGCATCAAGCATCCAAATCTGCCTCTAGATAACACCTGCAAGTATCGTCAGTCATCATGCTCACCACTCATCTGACCAACCCTCCTCATCGCGTGCCAGCCTCGCAATATCTTCAACATCCCATAAGGCAATCAACCATTCGACACAATCCGTTGCTCACATGCCATGGTTATGGTAGAGATGGTTACCCGTGTCTACCCGCCAAATTCCGCTCCCTTCGCACCTTCCGTCTCTGTCCGATATCCCACGCATGCCCTTCGCCTCGCGTGCAACCAGCACCAGCACCTGCACACCACACATGCACAAAGAACTTAAGCTTCAGTAACGCAACCATGGAACGCAAATCCAGACACATGTCCAGCACGCGCGTGTGCGTGCGTCTCACTAGCATCAACTTAATATATATGCTTGATCAACAGCCCTGAATCCACGACTGCTGTGAAAGTGTGCTTTCCAGCGGTTCGTGCGTGCTGAACTACAAAATACTGCTGTCTGCCGAGCAACTTCAAGCGAGTCTGCATGCAGGCAGATGCAAGCGCAGGTGAACAAGATAAGAAGTGTGGCGTAGATATCCGACGGATACCGCGCTAGCGCAAAGAAGAAATATTGGTATGTTCAAAGAAGCCGGCGCGGAATCTTCGATAGCTTCGATGCGTGCCACACACACACACACATACCAGGTTAAGCCAGACCTATTCGAGGGTTCCCCCGCACATTAGCTACCAATGATATGTGAGAAGCTGAAGGTTGAGACAGATGCACCGACAACGATAGAGCGGGAAGACGGATGTGATCCGATTGCAAACAAGGCGGTGAGTGTGGGGACGAACGGGATGGAAACTCTTGGACAGGGGAAGACGAAGTATTCTGGAGAACAGGAAGGCGGGTTGTAGCAAGGTGGAGGTTAGGATCGACGGTTGGCACAAGGACGGACACACGTATGAATTGGGTGTGTGTTCCGACGACGTCTCGACGGTATACTTTCGATATGCTTTGGCTAGGGTAGGCGATATTTGAGGGGAATGGAATGAGCGGGTATTTGAGATGTTGGGAAAAGGGAGATGGATTCAAGGGGAACGATAGGGTTGGAGTGTAGTTGTAAGGGAGAAGGGAGTGAAAATGCAATGGTTATGATACAATAGCATTGCTGAAGTCAGTTTGGTGTTTTGGGTACCACAATTCAGACAAGCCAAGTCTACATGTTCACTTCATCTGCATCTTCCTCCTTGTAAGTCACTCCACTCGCACCTCTGCCACATCTCCTTCTCGATAATGCTGGAGGAGCGGTGCGATTCTTTGAAAGCGGCACATCCCTCTTCTCATCACCAAGGTCGCTTGGCGGCGAGCTACCATTCTCTTCATCCGTGGGGGAAGGGGTAGGCACTGACTTTGGGGTCTTCTTCTTCGCCGAGGTGCCCCCCTTCTCAGATGCAGCCTTCTTTGAAGGGGTCTTGACTTCCCCGACCCCACTGACATCCCCATTTACTCTTGTTTCCTTTATTGCTACAGTTTTCCTCTTCTTCTTTGCTTGTGTTGCGGCACCTTCTTCTTTCTTCTTGATAACCCTCTTCCGGGGCCGAAGCCAGTCCTCCATACCCGGAGGCCAATACACTCTCCGCTCTGGTCCGCCCATGGCGATTTCTTCCTCGGGTATAAGGACTTCGCCTTTATTTTCTTCCTCCACGTCCGTAAGCCTTTCGTCTAAAGCCTCTAGCTCATAGTCATACTTCTTCTTCCTTTTACCACGCTTCATAGCAGTCCCCATCAGTTTCGCTTGGACAGGCTTGTTCTCGTCTTGCCTGACGTGAGGAATTATATCATTGAAAAGATCGAAGCCTGGAAGCTTGAACGTTCGCATGAGTTCAAAGACAGCTTGCTCCTTGTCCTTTGCTTCGATCATCAAGTCCATAGTGTCCGGACATGGCGGCAAGGTCATGACTCTTGGGGAATGCTTCCTCCTGGACCGGCTAGCGGTAGCTTCCGGACATGGTTCTGAATAGTGCATCTTTGGTGTGATACCTTTTCTCGTCCAAGTCTCAACGATGACAGGAATGAGTTCTTTAATGTCTTTTGTCCCTTCGCGGATCTTCTCAGCGTTGAACACGATGTTGTGATGATGAAAGTCGAGTACGAAGGGAATATTCAATTCCTGGCATAGAGGTAGCAGGTCATGAACAGACCAAACCACATCGTCATTTTCAAGTACAAGACGGTTCTTGACAGACTGCGGAAGCTTCGCGTAATTCTCTCGGAATCGATCAAGGGTGGCAGGCTTATCACCGAACGCACCTCCTAGATGAAGGATCATGACAGCGTCACGGTCTTGTTGAGGTGGAAGCTTGAGAAGCGAAAGCATCTCATCATGATAGTCGAGATCCCGGATGGAAGCATCAATGACTTGCTTACGAGGGGAACCGAGCTGGGTGAATTGCCCAGGATGCGTGGTCACTCTGTGACCTAACTCGGCGATTACTCTACCTACCTCTGCGAGAGAGTTTGCTGCAAAGGGTGCGAGCTTGTACCCGTAGTCGCCATGGCTAGCGAAAGGGAATATTTCACTGCTTAAGCGCATGAACCTGATGCCATACTTGTCATTCCAATGCATCATCTTGATAATATCCCGAGCGTTTGCGAGACCCAATTCCTCAACGTACTTCTGCCCTCTCGCCACATCAGCAGGCTTGTTCTTGTCTGGCCTGTTCTTTATGGGATGTTCTGGCCGAGAGGGGTCTTTAAGTGGATGTCGGTGCTCAAGGATTGATGCGATGCGACATGTACGGGAACTGAAGATGGGGGGATTCGCGTTGCGAAGGTAGGTGTTTAGACATGCCTAGACATCAGACATCGCCGATTAGCCCCAACTCAACAAAGGATGGATGTTACTGATGACCTACAAATCCTAACCGCCCTTTCCAAGGGAGGGGAAGATAGTCGGAATTGACAGGCGGCGGCCTCGACAGCACTTCCTTGATTTCTTCCCCATCCGCGTTCTGATTTGGTTGCCCCTCCTCGGCTTCAGGATCAACCATCACCCCCACGTCCTCCTTCACAGCATTCTCAGTGGCCGTAGTGGTGTCATTAACGACGGTGCTATTGCTTTCCGCATTGTCCACCTTCACATGCTTCGAGGGGCCCTTTTGTCTCTTATTCCTGCCAGGCTGGCGCCCAGGTAGATCAACCGGCGTGGTCTCAGATTCCGGATGAACCGCATCCTTCGCGTTCGGACGATTTCCAGCACTGCCACCAACAGCTGTCCCTGGTGCTTGCCTGTCAGGGCCGTGCTCTGGGTGACCTGCAGCAGGTGCTGCAATATCCTCCGTGGTTGCATTTGCATCTGGATGGGTTGATGTGGGAGCAACAGCACCTGCATCCAAATTGGGTCCCGTACTGCTAACATTGCCCACACGGGGTTTCATGGCAGGGAGGGGAACGCCTCCGCCACTGTCAGGCGAAACCTGCAATGCAGACATACCGTCCAAGAATTCAGGGTTGGCATTGGTGTTGATACGGGTGGGATTGGCCCCGCGAGTGCGCTGGGATGGCTGACGCCTCAGTGGCTTGGGCCGCTGCATTGCGACATTTCCTGGCAGAGGAACTTCGCTGTGGCGGGCTGGCGGGATGTCAGGGACTGAAGATGCTGCGGCTGTCGTTGACCGTTTGCGCTTGGCCATCCGGACGGATAGGGGTAGGGTTTGTACACACAGGAACGCCGATGAGGCTCGTTGTGTGGCCCGGGATTGTCCAAGGGAGTGAACGCAGCGTCGCATTAATGTCCGAAGACTCAGGTTCCGTCTCCGCTCTTCATCTGGAGGAGAGAAGAAGACAGGAGATAGACGAAGAGTGCGTGTTGTTGTGACCGCATCATGATGACTAACGCGACAAGCCTCAATTCACGACCAAAGTTCGATGATCGAGCTTGATTTTTGGTGGAGTTGTGACGGATGGTGTCGAGCGTGCCGTCGATCGACGCTTGGTGCGATCGTGTTAGCGCGCGCCTTGGCCTGAGAAGACTCCAGAGATCGCGCCAAATCGCCGCCCACGTCAAAGGGAGGCAGTTTGCGCCTGAATTTACAGGCTGCCAACGCACTCAGCCCCCTTACCCGTATTGGTATCCGTACCCGGCGCCATCACGACGCCGCTGAAGCAAGACCCGCCTTTGACATGCAGCTAACACGCCACACATCGGAGATGAAAACTTATGCTTCACCAAACGGCCTTACAAGCCACTAGCTGGGCGCCTTCGTCCTTCTGCCTCACGTCCTTTGCACCGAAACCTTCCGCCATGCTCTTTTACGTACGAACAACTACCCCAGATAATCACATGAGAATGGACAGATGATGTCTCTTTCGTCACCATCACCTACTACCCTTCTGGGCAATACAGCCGCTAGCTCTTTTCTAGGAATCGCATCCTGCAAGGTCTAGCCTAAAGGCTGAATGTACCTCTGGCCAAGAAACTTCACATGTAGGTACGGACACCGTTCCTACATGTGCGGTCTGCAGCCTCGGGGACAAAGCAGACCAGACAGCCTCCTCCACATCTGGTGCTAGGCTGGGCCTTCATCCAATGGGATATTCATATGAATTGCTCTTCTTGCTCCGCGATTGGCGTTGGATTGAAATGATGTTCCTCGGATATGATTGGTTCCATCCAACTGGTACCCCGAATAAACCCACCCCCAAATCTTCTTGCATTCGGACCAGGTTCTGGAGATCCAAGCTAAGAAATGGCCTGAAGGCAAACAACTAGAGTATGTTAGCGAAAATCCAAGGAACTTGGTTTCTTCAGCAGTGTGACCTGAGTAGAGGTCACTAAGATGACCAATGCGGGGCATGGGTAAAGGATCACTCACTATCTCTTCTATCCCCCACCTCACCCAAAACCCGCCGACAGTGTGCAGCGGAGCGCGAAGGAGCGCGAAGAACGCCTTACCCGCCCGTACCAGGCCTTGATGCACTTTGCTGCACACTTCCAAGTGACATGCGATCGTGAGAGAGTGGGCAGACTGCGCACGAACAGAATGTCACTGCAGCACCATGAAGCTCGGAGGCTGCAGGATAGACCTGGGAGTCGATCAGAGAACATCAACGCTGATCCCTCCCTCTTCCCGTTATCAATAGTTGTCTCGTCTGGTGGATCCAGGATCCGGTCGACCGCGCTTGAGGATTGAAACACGGAGAGAAGTGGAAAGTGCAATCTATGCTTTTGCAAAACCTTGTTAAGTCTGAATTCCTCTACACCGTACCCGCTAGAGAACAAGGGCCTGTATATCGAACTACAACCTCCGTCCTCCGACACCCCGATACGAGCCTCAATGCTCATCCGCCGGCGTCCCCGAACAGCCAAAAACCCCGCGCGAGAACTCTAATTCCATCACCGGCGCAGTGCCCGGAAGTTTCAGCCAACCACAAGCCACAGAAAAACCAGACCGAAAGTAGTGAAACCACGACTTTTAAAGCTGGTTCCTTGAACACCAGACCTGGTCCTGGCTCTTGTTGGAGGGGTCAGCAAAGCTGCGCGCTGGTGTCAGCGGCGTTGGAGGAGTGTGTACCGTTGGCGGCGCGTGAGATTGCCTCCACAGTGGTAGGACAGAATGATAAATGAAAGGGGGTTGACGATGAGGCGGCATTGGTAGAGAAAGTTCGAAAGCTCTCATGTGAACGTGGTCATTCTTTCCTTCCAGCGAACTACTGTAGGTATTTACGGATTCGGATATTGCGATAGAGATCCAAGTGTCCAGATGCGCGACGCCGGAGACCGGTCAAACTATTGTTGAAGAAATGATGCTCTTGTGTATCCACACGATAGGGCTCGTGGCCGTGCGTGAGAAAATCCGCCCTATCACTCAACAATGCCTATTTGCTGATCGTATTCACATGACAGGAATAAGACTGATAGTGTGGTTTAAAAAAAAAATCAGCATCCGAAATCCCAAGGCACGGCAGTTCTTGTAGATAAGATTTAGGATTTCGGGAAAGCTTGGATGAGATCCCTCTATTCATGCATTGCATTCATTTCGTGAAAGTGACTCTACAGAGAGAGATACATATATCCTGGTACACAGAGGCCAGGTACCAATGCTCCTATCCCAACGAAATATTCAAACATGCAAGATATTCAAAAGCTTCTGTTCCCACCCAGGCTTTTTCGTGATCCATGTTCCGATTTCCAAAGTTTCCAACCGTGAAGAGGCTCACATATCCGTAAAGCCTGTAGTCCTTTTCCCGACCAATCCCAACCCATATAATCTTGATTCTTGCCAAATACCCTGCACTATGGTGAAGATCCTATTGTGAGTGACCGATTAGATGACAATATACTCCCCATCCACACGATCCATAGCTTTTCTCCACCTAAACGCCTGTTGCTGTCCACCGAACGAGTCCAGTCCATTATACTCTGCTTCCCAACCCCTCTCTCCCCTCTCGTCGTCTTCCTGCCAGACCTTTTCCAAGACTTCTAGTCCGCTGAGGTTGTTGAAGAACCCACTTTCTCGTTGGATCTCGACGCATCTCTGTCGCACAATGGCGCGATGTTCGGCATCCACACATTCGGTTCCTATGATGAATAGAGGCCAAAGGAGGAACTTGTTGACACAGCTCGTGACTCCGATCTGAGATATGTGATATAGACCTTGCGTGACCAAGTTCTGAAGATTGAGCGCACTAGAGGGAGGTGTTGGACAGGCAAGTCGCTCGGTGTATAAGAGCGCAGCATACCGAAAGCTCTCACTAATGTGAAGAAGTGCCGCTTGCGCTGGAGATAAGGTAAGTGAAGCTGAAACTGCACCACATGAGTTGGCATGCACGCCACGACGCAGGTCTATTTCCCACTCTCGTAATCGGGTTCGAATGTCGGTCCACTCCGCCCAGAATAGGGAACGAGCGTCATCCGCAGTCGGAGTAATCGGACTCGTAGGCTCATGCACTGGCGTTCCCCATCCATTACCGTCGATGTTATCGAAATTAAACGAGTAGAATTCCCTTTTCCGTTTTGGCTGTGGCGTGGCGCGAGGTGTGGTATTGCTTTCCCGAACTGGACGGTTTTGGCTTAGCAGGTTCAATCTGCCGAGTCTGGCAATGAGCTTGAATAAACGACCCTCACACCCCGCTAGATGCTCCAGGGCCCCCAAATTTGCTGTAAGATTTGTCATATCCAGTGAATCCCCTTGGACTTCTGTTTCGCGATCGTTGACTGTGCTGGTCATTACATCGAACCAGGTGAAAAAGAGCTCGATCCATCCGACGAAATTGGACTGCACGCTTCTGTCGCGCATACTAAGCAGTTTCTGCACTCCCGCAAGCTGAGTCTTAAATTTTGTGAAGCCAGAATCGCATACGTGAAAGAGACAGAGAATAAGAAGCGTGGCGAGGACGGCATCATCCTTAGTGCCATTCGGATCCACAAGCTGCCGATTCAGTAGGGCTATTGAATTTGCCTTGTAGCGCTTCTCTTCGTGGGACGGCCGACCGTGCATTTCCCGCAATTCTTGCGCTGTCATCTGGGAAAAGGCATGATCGGGCAAGAGTCGGAAATCTTGTGCGCCACTGAGTCGGCGGCCTTCGATCCCACCACGCATGCGTATATTATTCGTCGCTAGGGCTGCAATAGCGTTCTGTAAACCCTCACTTCTCATCGCTAGATGCATCACGTGCATCCGATACGGATTCGTCGGGGAGTCAAAAGCTACCAGTACCGGGCATATAAATTTGTCGTAGTAGTCCAGCAGGTATAGCGTCCGCGGGGAAAGGTGCGAAGCGGGAAAGAGACTCTGAGGAATGGAAGCAGTGAGCGTGGATTCGTTTGAAGATAGGGCACCAGAACCAATGGAAGACATACCCTCCGAGGGTAAATAGGCGTAGCCTGGCTGAGGCAACCCATTAACATTTGCATTCATCTCCCCCTCCATAAACACATCAGAAAAAGTCGAGGACCGCATGCCATGCTGCCCTGAATTGACTTCAGCATAATCTTGTATGCTCTGATCAGAGCTGATACTCGAGCTAACGTCATCTGCGATTGGGAACGAGCGTGGGGCCTCTTGGTAATGCAGATTCTCGGTCGAACTCATAGGCGTATGATCGTGAAAGATAAGGGAATGATAAGGAGGAAGAGAGGACTCCGCGAAAGGAAAATCATCAGGAGTATGCGGGTATTCGCTAGGAGAAGGGAAGTCGCTGTCGCTATAGGTGCTAAGAGAGCCAGCAGATGCCGATAAACCCGTCTCATCATAAGGGACTGCTAGAGCAGTATGCAGTCTTTGTAGTGGACCCCTGTGAAGGTGAGGCCGCCTCAATTTGGATGAATGCGGGTGATATGCCTCCACGTGCTCCCCGTAACCGGGGATTGGAAAACCCATTGGTGTGGTGGGAGAAGGAATTGGTATTGGACTGGTTGGACCAAGATGGAGGTATTCTTGTGGGGCAGAGTACATGTTGGGGCTCGTGGGGCTCGTTGGTGAGTGAACGCCAAAATCAATACTGCCTCGAGTTTCAAGTTTGGCAGCGCCAGGCTGCGTCGAGCTGGTCGTAGTGGAGACTGAAGCTGTTGAAGTCTGTGTCTTGGAGTTTTGGGCGCTGGTGTTGTTTTGCGTAGGTGACTTGGCTATCGGAAGTGACAATCCTCGAAGCTTTCCACGGCTCGCAACTCCCACTCCCCAGGTCAAGGTAGTTCGATATCCAGAGCAGTCTTTTCCCATCTCAATACATTGTCCACAGTACGGCCGACGACGGTCACATTTTACCTGACGCTTCCTGCATGCAAAGCAATCTTCGCTCGCGCCCGTAGCCGGTGCTCTCCTTCTCCGTTTCTTTGGGGCTGCAGAAACGTTGTTGGTGGCCTCAGGCTTCTGGGCCTCAGCAGGCTGGGTGGCAGATGACGACATGGCCATGGCAGGCGATATATTGTGATGGAAAGTTATTGCAGGAGTAAAGAAAATAGCATCTGCAGATGGTTGGACGAAAGTATAGTATGCGTAAAAAGAATATACAAAGGGACGAGGGGCAAATCTCAATGGAGAATGGAAAAGTGCGTCAAGGTGGGTATTATTTAGCTGTAAGAGAGCTTGGCCCCAGTTGAGATAAGATCAGGGCTGGGAACAAGGGCTCTGATGTGCCAAGGGGTTGCATCCAAAATACCGCGGCAGGATGCACGCTAGGATATTAAAAGCGCGAGTCTGGCATCGTGAGATGCTGGGAGGGAGCAGTGGTTGCTGGCAGGCTGGCAGCAGGCCAGTGCCCGCATGTTCAGCGCTCCCTGCAGGTGTGAAGCTTCGGTCTGTGGCGAGCAAAGGCCTTGGGGACCAGGCGCAGAGACCTAGCGCACCCCACACGCTGCGGCGAATTGGCAGGCCGAGGACCAGCAAAAGGGCCTGAGGGTTACATCGCCTTCGCTTCTTGCACCCTGGAGGTGTTGGATGGTGGATGCACGCAAGACGGAGCGTGATGGGCGATGCGAGGGTGCGGAGGGTGCAGAGAGGCCAGGGCCGAGTGCTGCACGCCACTGACGAGCCGGCGAATCAAGGCGCGAGGGCGTGATGATCCACTGCCGTCCAGCAGCGGCCGCTACCTCGGAGCTCACAACGGCCTCAGCCATACAGCGGGCGAGCTGTCGAGTCCGCTGCCGCGCAAGGTCATGGCCGCTAATGTGGTTGCTCGGCCTGCGAGCCTCTGCGAAGCCACTGCTGCCACCTCCCGAAAGCCTCTCACGCCCACCCCCCTTCAGGACTAGGCGGCCTAGAATCTGCGAATCGCAGCGTGTAGAGTGCGAGCGGAGCCGACCGACGAGATCGAGTGTGGATTTCGTCGCGACGGGCGCCTGCAAACGAAGGCTTTAGGGGCTGCACCGAACGCTGTATGGAAACAGCAAAACTTCTAGCTTCCTTCGCTCGTCCTTCGGTGAGGCCAGCGGCACGCGCTCATCTGTCACTGTACGTAAGGAACAGCCGCTCAACTCCCAACACCCCCGCAAGCCAACATCGTCGCGCCCAGCGAGCGATCGGCGGCGTCTAGGGGAAGAGTCCTCCTGAACAGACCTAGGCGTCCAATGAACTTGCTCTCCGCGGAACGCCTGCTGGCGAGGAGCGTAGGCGTGCGAACACCTGCTCGGCCTTGATTGTGATGGAAGGGCAAAAGATGACGCTCGCTCTGGGCGATGGAGGCTTCGGGAGATGAACGTCCCGTCCTCCCCTCACCACTGCCAGGTCGCCCGTTGCAATCGTACATGGCTTGGATGCACCCTCATCCGGTATTGTTCCTGCTCGTCCTTCTGCTCCGCAGAAATGTCTTGGCGATCCGCTCCGCTGGGTCTCTCTTCGTGATAACGCCAGAACAGGCCCTGATGAAAACATGATATGACCATCGTCATCCTCCATAGCAATCACACCCCCACGGCCCTGAGACCAGCCGTTGTTCGTCGAAGTTCTGCCGGCGCGATATCGCTATTGAGAGCAAACTCATCGGCACCGCGCTACCTCCTTAAATTCAGGCCCTATCCTGATTCTATCTTCTGTCTGCACGCCGTGTGCCGAATGATGATCGTTGATCACGCAGCCAATGCGCGACCAGCCTTTGCATCATGGCCCTCACCAGTCGTCGCGTCAACTTTCTTCTTCTACGCCCAGGTGATTTCATGTGTCGCTGGCGTGCGTCCCGTCGCCATTGGCATCGACTTTCTGTCTGTTGCAACAGCCACATTGTGCGCCGCGCACGATTTGCTTTTCTGCCGCTTGTTCTCCAATCGTGCCTCCGCCTTCCACCGAGGAACCTTTCGTTTGGGACGTGCACGTGAGACCGCAGGTGAGACCGCATCGGGGACAAGGACAAACTCGGGCACACCTACAGTGGGGGACTGCAGGCGAAAGCGCTGGGACAAATCAGCTGTTTGTTCTTACTTAACAGTGCCCATCAGCAGATGATTACCTCTGGTGCAAGGACAGGCCTCCCCTATCCTCGAATGCTGTTAACCGTCTGTACCTGAAGCGGCGCGATTCCAAATGATCTGGCACCTCTGCCGCTATTCAAGCCTGCGGGGTAAGTGGTTGCCAGGGTTCGATCCTCGCCCTCGGTCTTCTGTCATTGTGATATTCCGGTGTAGATTTCCGAGGACTGCTCCACTAGATCCTCTGGAGAGAATGGAGTGGAGTTCAGCTTCTGAAGAAATATACCATTTTACCCGACAGCAGTAAAGCGAATGCGAATCCTCCTAAGCCCTGGTCAACGCAGCCTTTCCCCAAGGTTTAGCTCGCTATCATAGAGCCGCATGGAGGGATCGGGCCAGTCTTGCATTCCGGCAACGACGGCAACCAAATCGCTAGTGCTGCTGAGCTTCTGTGGTTAGGCGATGCTTGCCTATTCGAAGCAAGATAGCCCTTGTTTGACTTTTTGCTTTTATATTAACCCCTGTTTAACAATAGCCAAAGATGCAATGACCCTAGGAGGATCAAATAATGCAGACTGTCGACTTGGAGTGCTCGTAGCACTCCATCCTGGAGTACATTCAGCCCAATTTTGTGTTTTATAGTTCCTCCGTAGACTCAATCATGAACGACCACTCAGCAACCTAGGCGGCATTAAGGTCGCCCTACGCTATAAACCTAGTCTAAATTTTCCGGCGATGTCCTTGTTGCAAGGCATCGCTTCAAGATATCGATAACGTCGCTTCGAATGGTCGTGATAAATCTAATTAGATTGGTGCTAGCGAATCTTGATCTTCAGAGATCTTGAGGTGACCTTAGATACGGTCGTCGTCATAAATATCCAAAGCCAGAAGCCGTCTAGAGAACCATCACCTTCCGGGAATTCGGTGCGAAGTTGCAGCCTGTGGATAAATCAGCAACGTTCCTAGAGTTCTTAACAATTAAACCTCTAGCTTGCTTAGCTAACTTAGCTTAGATAAATATTATCTAACTTTATATATTATATCTTCTTTAATGTACACTATAGGCGAGTTGCTTACACACCTAAGTTGCTTACTTTTACTAAGACTACACTAAACTACTCTTTTTACACTAATGCATTCCTAATAATACTACTTAGATGTGTTAAAAAAATGCTAAATGTAGCTTACACTTTAGGCATTTAAATAAAATGTAATACTTTTTACGTAATGTACTATAGCTATGTATAAAGTTTTTTAAAAAATAATAAATAACTAATCACGTATACTACAGGCAAGTTGCTTACACACCTAAGTTGCTTACTTTTACTAAAACTACACTACACTACTTTTTCTACACTAATATATTTCTAATAACACTACTTAAACATATTAAAAGAATATTAAATATAGCTTATGCTTTAAACTTTTAAATAAAACATAACACTTTCTAAGTTATATTTTATAGCTATCTATAAAGTCTTTTAAAAGATAATAAGTAACTAACACACTAGATAACTTTTTTAAGCTAATGTCGCGTACACTAAGAGCCTTGGCTAGGGCTTAGAGCCTAGGGCGCAGCTTAGAGCCTAGGGCGCAGCTTAGGATCTAGAGATATTATTGTAACAGCACAGGCAAGACAATAGGTCTAAATGCGGTGGGAATCCACTTAGAGGCATATAGGAGTGCGTGGGGACTTAGAACCTAGGAATGCTATTAACACCTATAGGCCTTGTACAAAAGAATATTAGAAAACTACTAAGCTAGCTAAGAGAAAAGGTGCAACTAAATACATAAGAGAATAAAGGTAACTACAGAGGACAGAGTTAAGTTATAGTTAGAGCTAATATAAAAACCCTTTAGATAAGATCTAAGTAACCTAAGATAAAATAATTTATAAGAATTATTACACTACTCTCTCTTTTATAAGCTAATAGTCTTTATTTATAGTATATAAAAAATATTTAAAACTAATTTAAAACTAATTTAAATAAAATATAATAAAGTATAACTTTTTAATAAAAAAAGTTATTACTAAAAAAAACTAGACTAAAAACTTAATATAAATATAATGCCTTTATTATAATGTTTTTATTTAGTAGTAATTAGTAGTATAGTTATTATTAATATAGTAAATTTATTATTTATAGTAATAAGTGTTTACTTACTTTACTTATATAGTTTAGTTAATGTAGTTTATTTTCTTTTTAGCTATTATTTAAATCTCTACTATATAAGTATTATTATGCACCTAACATTCTATAGCTTAGTCTACTAACTAATTATAGCATTAAGAAAATTACTATGCTGCTTTACCTCTCTTCTAGAGCTTTTTTAAAGGTGTTTTAAGTTATCTACTTTTAAGCTGCCTACACTTTTACTTATAGCCTTTAAGTTAAGTTTTTTTTATTAGTTTTTTAAATTAAAAAAATATAAATATTACACTTTATATAATAAAAAATATAACTTTATATAAATATAGTTTAATACTACTAAGGTATAGTTTACTAACATATGTATAAGTTTTTTTATATTATAAATTTTTTTTTTGTCTTTTAAAGCTATTTTAAGCTATAGGCAGCAGCCTAAAACATAAAAAGTAAAAAAAATAAAAAAAAAAGCTTTTAAAGCTATTTTAAAGTTTACTTAAAACCTAGTATAAGTAGTGTAGGTTATAAAAAGTTAGAAAGCTAGTCTTTTTATAGCTAGTGTTTAAGTAGCTTTATTCTACTAAAATACTAAGCTACTTTATTAAGTTTTAGCTTTAAAAGCTTTAGTGTTTAACTTTTAAGTAAATATTATAGCGCTTTTAGGCAGCTAAAGATAAAGTAAAGAGAGTTTAAAAAAAGTCTAAAAGAAAAAAAAAAAGTAAAATTTCTTTTTTTAAAAGTATTTAATAGCTTACTATTAGACTTTTCTAGCACTATATCTATAAAGTTATAACACTATTATGTATAACTATAAATTAACTTTTTATTTATATAACTTTATTATTTACTAAGTAATCTATACTTTTTACACTAGCTTTAAAAGCCTTAATCTACTTATATAAAGCTTTTAAAAGTTTTAGCTAATTTAAATGCTTATTATAAAAAGCTTTTAGTTTATAAAAAGAACTTATAAAATTTAAAGCTTTATACTAA